TCTTACAAACAGGGGGCTTTGGTTGCAATGCGCAGGATTCTATCATGGAAGACTAGGACCTTGTTTATGTGGACTGTTTATGTTTACGTGGGTTGTTTATGTGTTGCAGAATGCCACCAGATCGGGTATGCGTAATGCAGGAGTGGTCGAGGACTGGATTTGTATAGAAGCACTTTATTTTCTGGGCTGAGGCTACTTTTACGGTATATAATGGGACAATATTGATGAAGCTTCTGATGGGTTTGTTTCACTTTGGTTTCTATACGATCTTTCCTGGTTTGTTTTGTGTCAATATAGAGACCCAGGTATTTGCGTGATGAATTGAATGGGAGATTTGTTTAACAGGAGGAAATGGGGATAGTAAGCGTGTCGGAGAGTGAAAATGTTTGCGAGCGATTTTGAGGGATTGAGCATGATTCTTCATTTGGTAGTCAATTGTTTGATTTGGTGCAGGTGTCTCTGAAATCGGTTAGTCAGTGTGCATAGTTCGGGACCTGAAAGAAATAAGGAAGTATCGTCTGCAAATTGGGCTGTTTTAATGAATCAAAATGTGAGTATGTCAGCGGTGAAAATGGGGAAATAGGGAGCCTTGAGGAACGCCTGCTTCAATAGGATGAGGGTAAGAAAGATGCGACGAGAATTTTCTGAGAATAAAAGATCTGACAAAAAAATCGATGGTTGAAAGGAGGTAGAGTGGGATACCGACTTTCGTAACTTATAGATTACGTCATTATGCCAAATTCGTTCGAACTCTTAGCTCATCATCAAGGAAAGCTGCTAAGATATGTTGCCCTTTTTGAAACGCGGGGTGAATGAATTCTGTTAATCTGAAGAGTTGATGGCAGGAAGAATGTTTAAGAACGAAACCAAATTGGTGATGAGAAATAATCTCGGACTTCCTTAGAAATTAATTGAGCCTCTTTTGAATAACTTTTTCTGCTGTTTTGGCAAGAATAGATTGTGACTACTATTGAATGTTTCCATAATTTGGGTAAATAATCTAATTTGAACATAGAATTTATTAAATTATCAGTTAGCAGTTCTGAGAGAACAATTTCTGTCCGTTTGAGAAAAGAGAAGGGTTGGATTTTTCTTACGTAGTATTATCGTAGCCAACCAAACTGCGCTGTTATGGGTCGGGAAAGAATATAGTTTTTATATTGCCCGAAATTGTAGTCTTGAAGTGCCTGTCTAGAGACTCCAATAAGACGATTGAGCTCACTCTTAGGTGTGGTAAACTGTGTTCATTCCAAATTCTTCAAGTTTTATTTTTTATTTAATTACATTTTGTAGGTACTTGGGAAGAGGAGGTTTTGTAAAGTTTTGGGGAAGCAAGGGGCTTGTGGGGATGGATGCGAGTACAGCTGTAGTTATGGAGTTTGTGATAAATGAAACTGCATTATCTATTTCATGAATTACTGACCCGGCAGTGCTATTTGTTTGGCATTGAGGACACCCATTACGATCGTTGGTAGAGTAGCGTTAAATGGTGATCCGATGCGGGACGCCGAGATTTTTTGTTTGGTGGTTTGTACGCATCGATGACCGGGATACTATTGTTATCTGAAAAAAAATGCGTACAGCAATCGTTTCTAGGGCGGGGTGAGGAGAAGGACTATTTCAAAATAATTTATTGATTTTTTTACCAGCATTAAGACACCACCTCCTGTTGTTAGTCCAGGTCTGTCGTTATGAATACAATTCTAGTCTAGAATCCTAAAAGCATCTGATGTCAAATGAGTTTCGGTGATACAGGCTATATCTATGGAGTGGAAATTTATGAAGTCAACGAGTTCGATGCGTGTTTTGAAGACTCCATGGTTGTTCCAATTGAGAAACCTTAGTGATTTGAGGAGTGACATTATTAACATTTGCGAAAAGTGAAACTACGGAATTATGAATTTTACTTAAGACTATACGGATAGTGAGTGTAGGATATTAGTGAAATGACTGTTAATTTATTGGATGATATTGTTAATTAAAAGATTATTTGGTTCAGGGCTGAGTGGTTGGGATGAGCGAGGTTATTCGTTTCTAAAATGTTCGTAAGAGGTTGGAGGTGAAGGTGAGGGTGAGGGACAAAAATGTAATATTTGGTTAGCTTCTGGTAAATAAGGAAAATTGTCTGCAGTGTTGGGAGGAGCTTTCGAAGACAAATTATTGTTAATTGGTCTTTTATTAAATCTATTCAAACATTTTGTTTTAGATTCTAGGACTTGGGTGTAATACGTACAATGTGATGATGTGACGACTGCTCGATGATCCCCTTTACAATTAACACAGAGCGGAACAGAGTTTATACTTTTGCAGCTAGCCGAAATGTAGTTACCAGCACAATGAGCACAAGTTACTTTTCAGTTGCAGCTGTTTTTTTCTATGACCGAAATTTAGACAACGCACTAACTGTAGGGGTCCAACTTGTTTTTTTTCTTTTTTCTATCTTCACTTTTAAATGGCATAAAGTATTTATTTGAAGGATATTTTCAATTGGATGGGAGCCAGTAAATACTACAGCAACTACAGGTATTGGTGAACCAATTTTTAGAAGTCTTGTGACTTTTTTCACTGAGTCAAATATTGCTTTTAATTCCGAATAAATTTCTTTTTCTGAGATTTCAGTATGCACATTCTTTATAACTACAGAGAATTGTTTGTTGCTAAGGTCGGCATAAGTATAGAGTTGCCTTTCGTTTTCAAAAATGTTTCGAACCACCGCACGGTAGTCTTCAATTGTGGCCAAGTGGATTTTCAGTTTGTTCGATTTTAGTTCGGTAGAAAAGTTCCTTTTTGCAATTAGTTTGACGGTTATTACTAAGTCACTGAAGGTAGAATTTTCGTCCGTGTAAACATAAATTGAAGGAATTTTAGAAGCTTCAACTGGCGAGTCATCGAAACTTCGATCGTTATTTAAGTTGCCAAATCTGTTGGCAATTGTAACTCGGTCTAAATTTGCAATGAAACTGGATCGTTTATCGCCCCACTAGATGTTACACTGCTCTGTGATATCCCGGTTGGGAAATACGTTGCACCTGATTTTTCACTTTCGCGCACCGATATACCATTAGTACGTTTACTTTCGCTCGACGCTGCTTCGTCGTCACATGCACGTTTGTTTTGCAACACTGGTGCCTGGTCTGCTGAGCAGAGCTGAGCTCGATGTTCCGGTATGATGATGCGAGCCCGTCTGCAGTTTCGGCTAGTTTTTTCTTTAATACCTGGGAGGGTGGTGGCGACGCGTAGTTGTGGCTCGTAGCTGGCCGGGGCTGGCGTTGCCGCGTGCTTTCATCCATAGCCTCGCCGCTGGTTGAAAATGGCGACACTAGAGGAACTGCACTGTTGTCACCGTTATTTCGGATGAGAAGGGCGTCAGTTATTGTCTGCCCTATGGAAGGGTTGATGGCATAAGCCATATACCTTTGCCTAATGTAGTTATATTCAGAAACTAGAAATGCTTGAACATTGAGACCGAACACTATACACCTATTTCCCTGAATAGAGAATTATGCTCACAACTAAAATTAATGCTGTGTACTATATCGATTATATACCATGGGATGGCAGTATTGTGTTTGAGCTTTGAGTTATTATACACAGTTAACATTTTTGTTGTTGTAGCAGTGGAAGCTGGAACATTTACTTAATGGGGGGGACTGCATGCAAAAATAGAAAATGAATTGAAATATGTTCAGTACCAGTGTAAGTCTACCGCGAGCATTTATATCACACTTCTTGAAGACTTAAAATTCTAAATTTCACAGTTTTTAAATACTGAACAGAATTACTATTCGTACCCATTCTAAACACGAACTAGTGCTCAAACAGCACGTACTTTCTCGCCCGTGCTTTCACGCAAAATTATGTGAAAAGTACTCAAAGTTTCGAAAAATTGTACGTGACAATGTTTTAAAATCTATCTTTAAGGAACACATTTCAGCAAAGACAAAATCTCTGTCATCAATATTTTCGTTTTAGGAAGACTCCGAAAACATTTTCAACTTTTGCAATTTTCGAAAAATGAGGCTTTTTTGGCAGAAATGAGACCAGCACCGTTCTCTTAAACGCCCTTTACTCTACCCAATAATGAAATGTAATTAAAAATGATGGAGCCATTTTTTTGAAAACTTTGGGAATGTCTCAAGGATTTCATGTGAAGTACCCTTCAAAATTAAAATATTGGTTTCAAATTCAAAGGGCCGCGAAATCTCCCAGATGTATAACGGAATATCAATTTTAAAAAAATAGGCTGATCTGTTTAGCTGCTGGCGTAGTTCAAAGACGGACAAACGGACAGATACGAATGATTTTTCGGTTTCGAGGAACCACAAAGCAAGGATTCTGGCTACACCAAATACTTTTCAAAATACAATGCCAGTTGAATAAAATTTAACGCGTCTGCTCGTAAGACCGAGTAACAATGATCGAACTGATGGACGTATGAAGCACGCATACCCTCCGATTCAACACGCCATTTTCTTATATCATCTCAGAGATCCCCTCCGAACTGTAGAACAGCTCATTACCTGCAAGCACACTAGCTGGGAAATGATTGCAAGATCTCAGACATGCTGTACGAGTGCAAAGTGCTGCTCATATACTACTACTACTACTACTACTACTACTACTACTACTACTACTACTACTACTACTACTACTAATAATAATAATAATAATAATAATAATAATAATAATAATAATAATAATAATAATAATAATGTAACCTGTGGGTATAGTATATATCTGTGGCACGTGAAACTCATTTTTTCTGTGAGAGTCATGTGTGAATTACACATGAAACCGGTGAAATGCACATTTGTATGCACATGTTATATTCACATCAAATCGTCACATGCTTTTTTCAGCAGATTAAACTATTGTTAACTAAAAAGTAGTTATCTAGTGTAAATATATTAAAATATATTTATTTTATAAATCAAATATTCATTATCCATATTATCATTCAGATTTTGCAAATCCGACCTTGCTGCTCAACATAACGGTTAATGAGTCATTCGAAATCAGCATTGCATGTACCTGCTAGTGAACCTTTTTCCACGAGCACACATAAGACGATACCATTCCATGAAAAGAGTAATGATCTTGTCAAGGCTGAAGCTGTTGCGGCCCTGTTTCTACCTGCTCATTGGGCAATTTCGAATTCAGATCATTTGAATGAAATGTGTCGTACACTATTCCACGATAGCAAAATTGTACACGATTTGAAAATACAGAGAATAAAGTGCATCGGTTTAATAAAGAACTATTTATATACTCACTTTAAGGAGAATTTACTAAATGATTCTGGGAACGGACCTTTTAACTTTTTATTAGATGAATCGAATTACTTTTCTGTTACCAAATTGTTCGGAATATCGATCGTATACTATAGTTTGAAACAAGGAAACGTTGTATCGACGTTTTTACATTTACCAGAACTGGAAGCAAGCAGTGCTCAATCCTTTATTGATGCGATAAAAAACATATTAAGAAATTTCATTCAACATAAAAAAATAAGAGAAATTGGCACTAATAACGCCAGTGTAGTGGTTGGCACCAACAACGGCGTTTATGTTAAATTAAAGGGAGAAGTGCATCACTTATTTTTTTAATTCGATGTGTTTGCCACTTGTTGCAGTTAGCAGTTTCTCATGCTATTGCCCAGATTCTTCCACGACATTTGGAATTCTTAATTCAAGAAACGTATAACTGGTTCTCAAAATCAGCAATTCGACAAATTTCGTATGCGCGCGCGATCTTTCCTTCCTATTCCTAGTTCTATCCTCGCCCCTTAATCTTATACTTATAGGCGTCACACTGCCACACATGTCGGGAGACCAGTCGGAAACTTGGAGCTTGTCTCGGTTGGACGGTGCCCCTTCGGTGGAAGCTCCCTGGTTGAGGAAAACATTGCAAGCCGCTGGTAGTTCGGCGGCAGATGTCGCCATCCAGCGGGGGAAGTTCACCTATAAGATAGTTGATAAAAACAAGCACTACACTTATGAGAATAATGATCTCGCCAGTTGATGCTCCCCAAATAACGAATCAATTAAACCAAAGCTCCCGATAACACGAAATAAACAGTCAATGAATGAGCCAAATATTGAGTTCTCAAGGCATTTAAGGGAGTCAGAAAAGTCATAAGCTGGGCTTCTAGTTAGTGGCAAAGAGAGTGATTTTCGAGCCACTGCGCCCTCTGTTAGTGATTATAAACTACTAACAAGGTTTGTAGTCGAAATTTAGGAGACGAAAACGCTTGGAACGGCTGCTCAATCCGTGGTTCAGTCAGGCGTCCGTTCGCTTTGATTGGAGGGACACCCGTTTCGTTCGTAGTGTATGGAGTCTGTAATGGGCGGGTGAGAGCGTTGAAGGAAAGCAACGGGCGTCCGCAGCTCTTTGGCGTCCCGCCGAAGGGCCGCGGCGGCGGGTCACGCGTGTTGGGGCTGAGAGGCGCGGGCGACACTTGCAGGTGGAGCGCGCCGCGCCTTTCTTCGTCCACCTGCGCCCACAAAGGCCGCGGTGCCGCCGCCGGCCTCAAACGTGCGCCGCCCCGCGCCGCGCTGCCCAACGCGTCTCGTGTGCCGCCCCGCGCACTCGCGAGTCAAACGTTCCGCCCTCTTTTCTCCCCGGCTCGTCTCGCACTTCCACCCCTAATGGTATTTTTTATACGCACAGGTGTGTGATGCAGGCTACTTCCCCAAACACAGAGCTTTGCAATGCTCTTGAAATCTGTCCGTATTATTGACTTGGATGCAAAAGGAACAAATTGTCGACTCATAAAAGGTCATTAGTCTTCCCCCAGATTAATGAAGAGCCTTAAGATTTGGAAAGTTGTGCATACATGTAATGTAGAAGAAATTTTCTCGAAGGTACTTCTAATATATACAACTTCATTAAATTTTAATTCATTTAAAAGATAGATCAAAGAATTTCTTTATTTGAATAAAATAAAACTCAGGTGTGTAGTTAACAGAAGCATCTCGTTTTCTTCTTTTCTTTCTCATTTTCGTCTTCTAGTTCATCATCATCCTCATTCACATTCACTTGGCGTAATTGAACCCATCGATCACATCTGCGTAAATTTTATGAATTAACAATCATTTTAATGGCCTAATAAATTCATTACACTTATATTTAAATGTGATTGCCATTTCATTTGTTTTGAGACACAATAATAATTGCATTAATTGGATTAAATTTCATTAATTCAAGTATAATTTACCCAAACTACTTGTTTTTTCAGAGCTGAGATTTTAGAATAGATTTCGTTTCAGGCAAAAAATCTATCTTCAATTTCATAGTTTTAAATTGTTAAATTTATACAATTATCTAAACTACAATGAGTTCCACAGAAATTAGACAAGCGCCACTTTTGTACCGTCTTTGTATACATACGACGAGAAAATAGAAAAAGTAAACCTTGCTTTTATTTCTCCCAAAATATCGTCAAAATGAGTCATATTTTCGAAAAATCATATATGACCTTATTTTACGAAGTATTTAAAGAATGATTTTATAAAGAAAAAATCAATCTTCAATATTGTAGTTGTAGTAAGACGAAAAAAAGTAACTTTTGCAATTTTCGAAAATTCAAGGATTTCAACGAATATGATATGAATATCTATTCTCTGAAGAGCTCTTTGCGCTATTCGAGGACAAAGTTTAAACAAAAAAATTGGAGCCATTTTTGAGAACATTTAGAAAATGTTGAAGCTTCTTATAAAATACTCCCAAAAATGAAAATATTCATTTCAAACTCAGAGGGTATCGAGCTAATTTACCTTTTAAATCGTTCGAAAATCGAAGACAATATACTGTGATACAACTTTATCAAACATTTGACGTTTTGAAGAAGCATGTGTCTTTCTTAAAAAACTTGGACATAGAATTGTTGTTCTTTCCGTACTGTCATAACATATATGAACTTATTTTACAATGTGTGTTTGAATCTAAAATATGTGATGTTAACAAGCAATCCTGACACCACTTTTTCCGCTTTTTAAGGAATGCTAGGAAAAACTTAATGCCATTAATTTTCAAAGGGGTAGAGACAATGTGTAAATGTTATTTAATGAGTCCGAAATTAAAAGAAATGTTAGACTTTTATGAAAGTAACAAACTAATGATACATCTTCCCGGGGAGATGCATCAAGCCAGATAGATTGCTAGAACTCTTAATGATTAAAAATGTTTCTGCTAAGAGCACAACCTAAACTACCTAGTGTAAATACAATTCCCTAAAAATGTATCTCTGTTGATTGTAACTGTATATGTCAAACCGTGGGTAGTGTAAAGTGAAGATGTACAAGCTCCTTATCAAGATAACTGCCTTTTAAAGGTTCCAAAATCGCGTGAAACAATAGATTTCACAATTTCAAAAGCAGCTTCAAAAAAATTAAGACGCTGTATGTAGTATTTATTATGATGGTATGTGGTAAGTAGACGTACAAATCAAAATCAACATGGTAGCAAATTTAGCCTGAGAAAATCTACACATTGAAAAGTGTTTCTTTTTTGTAGAGAATTGATTCGAGAATATTGTGGTAAGCGCAATTGTATCCTGATAACTGTTCTTTAATTATTAATTCGTTAATATACAATGTATCTTCTAATTAATTTTACTCTTCATTTCAATAAAAAAATAACCACCGATGCTGTGAATGACTACTCTGAAAGGCCTGTTGAATTAATGCAAGATTTTCATTGAAAACTGAATGTAGATGAGAAGCGAAAGCAATGTCTGTTGGGCTGTTCAAGAACATCGTTCACTGTACCCATATTGCGAGAAAAAGCACTGTAAACTAGTGGTGCAGTCAGAGCACATAATTTCTCGCTTTGTTTCTAAAAGCTCCGCAAAATTACACTACTACATAACAAGCAAAAGTGTTGTCAAACAGCTAATTATTTGTACACTCTGCCACTCGAACTCAGATCCTCAGAGTTAATGTACCGGCACTCATACCACTACGCCACAGAAGCGCCGCGTTGGTCGAATTAGGACAAAGGTAAATGCCGATTCATGTAAAAAAACTTCTACAATCAATATATCCTATAGAAACCACCAAAGCCTCCAGTCCGTTAAGATCAATCAGGGAATATCAATTTTGAAGGAAATCAGCTAAATAGTTTAGGCGCTAGTGTTAACTACAGACAGACGCTCAGACGGACGGGCGTTTTGCCGTCAATCAATTTTTCGGTACCAAGAACCAACAAAACATGAATTCTGGCTACACTACGTGTTGGAGGACTTTTTTCTAAATTTAGCAACAGAATTTATCCACTTTTTCGTAACCAGAGCCCGGCTAAAAGACTTTTTCTGGCGAAAATTCGTAGTTTTCTGACGCATAATTACATAGCTTTCTCTTCTTACGAAGAATTCGAAAGGCGAGAATATAAAAAGTACCCACAATAAAAGATTAACTATAAGAGAGTCTCAAGAGTGACATTGAAATAAATTCTAATATAAAATTATATATTGAACGTGCATCAGTAGTTTTCCACACACCTCAACAAAACCAATCATCCCTAACATTCAAATTTCGCGCTCAAGGCAACCAGGGTTAATATTGATCTATTTACAAGAAATTTTGTTTTTGAGTAAATTTGGCCCTTTGGAAAATATTTAGGGGTTGAACCAAAAAATTTGCAAAAAAATTTGTTTATCAGTGTATGGGACACCCACATACTAGATTGTACCCTTCTATAATATTCTTAAAGGCATGTTTCAGCTCTTTCATTAGAAGACAGAATAATTCAAAAAATGTGAATAAATGTACATTGGGCGGCGATCGATGGCAGCTACGGAGAGGGGGAGAAAACCCGGAAAGCAAGCCCAGACCAAAGAAATTGGAAAACTAACAAGACCAAATTCAATTATCTGCCGCATTTTGTGTAAATTATCCACCAAAATTAAAATATTGGTTTCAAATTCAATTCGCGACATCAGCCAGGTCGATTGAGGAATATCAATTTTGGAGATAATTAGCTGAACGGGTTAGCCGCTTCCGTTGTTCACTGACGGACAGATGAACAGACAGACGAACAGACAGACGAACAGACTTTTGCAGTCATCCGATTTGTCGGTATCATGAGCCCACTAAACATGGATTCTGGTTACACCACGCGATAGAGAATTTTGATTTCTAAATTTAGCAACCGGATTTATCCACTTTTTCGGTAACAGGGCTTTGTAATATGAGTTTTCCTGCCAAATATTCGTCGTTTTTTTGTGCAACATTACATAACTTTCTATTCCGTAGGGAGAAAGTGCAAAGCTAAATATTAAATGGTGTTAAACAGTTTCTTATAACTTCGAATTGTGGGTTTGTTGTAATTCATTTAATGCATCTTACATCATCAGTTTCTTTCGCCACAATACTGAGGTTTTCTTGAATGCACCCCTATAAATCAACCCATAAATGTTCGATTGTGTCCAAATCAGGAGATGGATGGTGAGTTCGCAATTGCTATGGCAATTCATATAAATATTAGTGTAAAATTCTCCATTTAAGCCACTGTTTGCAGATATCAGCCGTGTGCTTGGGATCAATTGTTAAAAAATGTATCTTGACTCTAATTGCATTTTTTATGCACTCTACTTAATATTTTTTTTAAGACATCTAAGAATCGCTATTTGTTCACAATGCCGTCATTGATCGGCATTGTTCCAACCTCATTAGACGACATCACAGAACTTTCTCCACGCTTCATAGTAGGTTTAATATAGCAAGTTTTGTTGGCTGGATTTCCCTTTCTCCATATCACTAGCACCCACAAGAACCACAAAGATTTGGTTTCGTTTGATCCGACCAAATAACATTATTCGTGAACATCCTATCTTTATATTCGTGCTCTCTGCAGAATTTAATTCTAGCAAATCGATTTTTTCTACTTATGAAAGGCCTTTTTCGTGATATGATGATAGACGTACTCTCTGAAATGTCTGGTTTGCGTGATTTGTTTCATCATTTTGCGGATGTTGGGAGCACTTCATGTGATTTTCCTAACCTGTTGAATTATGAAACGTTCGTCCCTGCCATTGAGCTCCGTTCTCTTGTTTTTTCCTGGTAGGTTCTTTGTTGAATCGTTGTATCTAAACTTATTTAACACGTAGTTGATTGTTGAATGGGATTTTGTCACTGTGCGTCCAATTTCTCTTAGAGAAGAGCCTCGAAAAACCAAGTTACGATGATTTCCTTTACGGCACTGCTAAGTTTTTTCCTCTTCCCTATCGTGATTTTTTTTAATTCTTTGTTATACATTTGTGGTAAATACTTCAATAAAATATGAAGAGTAATTTCTATGCAACAGTTCATGAATTTTCTATAACATTTACACTGTACAACAAGATGCAATACACTTATATCTTGAAATTTATTATATTTCCTTTCTACATCTTCAGTAATACTGTAACGTTCCTCCGTGGTGAATTGAAACCAACACAATATTTAAACAAAGAAGGTTTATTCGTGACAATCATACATAAATTATAACTTGGCTATTTACAGATATGTTAAATTATTATTTTTTTTTAACACAGATTCGGTCTCTTCGATGATTTAATTTACACAGTTACTCCTTACCATATTTAGGTTTACACAGTTTCCATTCTTCTAACATAGTTAGCCAGTCATGCAGCTGTCCATCGTCCATTGCACTGACCCAAATGTCCTGCACAGAGCACAATTCCCTGGCGGACAATTTCGTTGTGCAGACACACTCACTGCGCACACCAGGGTCATGCACTGCTGTTCCACGATGCCCCTTCAAGCTCTTGCACTGAGATTCACGACTGCTGACTGTGTTCCCACTGCCCTGCTACGGTGCACCTTACAGCTAGCTTTCACTGCAGATTCAAGACGCTGATGCTTTCAACTGCTGCCCACTTCTTCACGCAATGCACATTTCACGCATAGCTTTCCCACTTCGGAACACTGACGGAGCTGATGCTTCTCTGCCACTCACTGACGCTTACTACCAGTGACTTCTACTCACGTCTTCTATATGATCTCGCGGCCGCGCAGCGGCGATTAACCTCCGGCGCTTTGTCAGGCAACCGGCATATTTCGGCGTTTCCCCCGGCTTCGGGATAGTCGAAGTCTAGTTCGGGGGGGAGGGAAGCGGCGCCGGCAGATGACGCAATCCACGCGCAGCGAATTCGGGAGGTGACGCAATATTCGTAACATTACTATACACATGAGTCTAATTCTGAAAAGGATAAATATATCTGATGATAATATTAATTATTTTTAGATTTAGAAAGATGATTTTCTTTGAAGGATAGTATATTGCGTTAATAGATATTTCCGTACGTAGGCCTCATGTCTTGTTTATATTATACGACTTCTCTGCGGATTTTCTTTGCTCTTCTGAATGACAGTTTGGTAATCTTCGTAATAATATGATCAATATATCCTACGTCCAACTGAAATTTCTGGATCAACTCCCAATCCCTACAATCCTCACGCTTTCGCAGACGGGGGAAGAATAACACGCGCGTCCGTCATTTGGCTTGGTCACCAGATTCCAACGTGATAGACTGCTACTGCGCATCCACCGAAGGACGACGCCTTGTTATTTCCTCCATGACTTCGATTGGTTGAAAGATTAGGAAAATTGGGAGTGTGGGGAGGGGAGGCAGTGATTGTTTTGGAATTACCCAAGGGTATTAGTTTTAAAATTACTCCTGTTAGTGTCTGGATTTTTTAAAAGTATTTACATTCTTCGGATGGAATGTCCGCTCTTGGAGGACCCTTTCAATTTTTGCATTTTGGTCTCAAAAGAGTTTGTGGACACGTTACCGTGTAATGCTAGTTTGCAGAGAATGCACATATAGTTTTATTATTACAGTTATTTCTTGTGTGACTGGAGTCTAGACATTTCGAACACTGTATTAGACCATTTGTTTTACGCCTTTATTGAGTTTCGACACACAGATTACTCAACTTATTAATGATTAGCATTACCTCAACCCTCTTTTGCACATCAAACTCTGATGCTATAACCAGACTGGGAATATTGTCTTTGTATAATCTTGTGACACTTGTCAATGAAGTGTGTTTAGAAATCAAATCTTCGTATACCTCTTGCTGAGTTTCTGATAGGTGAATGTTTCTAAAAACTACTAAAATTTTCTTTTTTGTGGGATCCTTGTAGGTATGGAATTGTCTATTTGTGCTTAAGAAGTATTTAATAGCCAAATTGGATGGCCGCTGTGGCTAAGAGCGTGTATTGCCTCACCGCTTCGTTCCAAAAAGTCGCGGGTTCGAGTTCCGCCTTGTGCGTGGTTAGTTGTCCTTTGTCTCCCACGTGTGTGTTGTCGCGTAGGGCGTCTCATTTGAATATGAGTCACTTCGAGACGTAAAGGGTAACCAGCTCTACGCTGAATAAAACCCTAACGAAAAAAGTGTTTAATAGCCTTTCTAAAGCCTATTTCGTACTTGATAGATAGTTTAGTTTTGTTGTTCAGCATATCTGAAGTGAATTGTACAGTTATTGCTTTTTAATACCTTTGATAAAAAGAGAAATGTTAGAAATATCTCACGAATATGAGGGAATTTTTATATTCTCGACTTTGTGTGTTATCTCGTCGTCTAGGTATTTCAATCTATTTTCCATTTTACTTTCTTACCTACTGTGTTCTTACGAAGTAAAGAATAAGTGTTATAATACTACAGCGGAAAGTGGCCAATTTTCGGGAGAAAATTCATTTTGTGTAGCCCTGGTAACAAAAAAATGTATCAATTTTACTATTATGTAGTAAATTACTTCCTCTAACACGTTGCGTTGTCAGAATTCACGTTTTATGGGTTCTTGATAGCGAAAAGTTGGTTTACGGCAAAGTGGTTTCCGTGTATCCGTCAGAGGTTAATTTTAGCGACTAATTTGTCAATTATATTTTCTCCAAAACTAATATATCCCTTTAGATCTGCCTCAACTGGAAGCTCTGCCAGTTTGAAATAAATGTTTTGATTTTGGAGGAACTTTTTACGTGAATCCTCTACATTTTCAAAATGTTGTTAAAATAGCTCCGATATTTTTATTAATTATATCTCCTTTTCACAGTATTTTCGAAAGTAGCAAATGTTTTTTTTATCATTTCGGTTATTTTACTCTAGATTATTATTTTACTCTACATTGAACAGTTAGAAGGACAGGGATGCAAAATGTATCCTTTGAATAAATGATACATTCTTTCATTGTAAAAGCAGTTGTAGTCGCCACCGCCGCTGTTAAGCAAAATATCCGCTAATATACGCATAATGTTCACAGCCGAGGTTTCGCGACACGTAGCGTATTGTCACGTTCAGACATGTGCGGCAGGCAAGTGACGCGTTAGTGAACTTGTGCAGAGCTTAATTTTAGCTCTCCAGGCCTGACAAGGACCACGATATGGTTGGGAAACATTGGCATCACTGCTCTCGACGCGGCATCACCAATACTGCCAAGACCCTTCATATTAACGGAATTTTTATTTTCTCATGTGCAAAGTCGTTCTTCAGATGAGTTAGTTTCACTATTATTAAACGGTCTTAATTTCGTATGTCGTCTGTAATGATATTCAAAATTTCAATAAACGGTCATTATTCATTCTGAAGTAAATAGAAAAGCGTTTTTCGACCCTTCGAAATTGTGGCATCAAGGTACGAAATTCTCTGTTCTCTTAGTTTTTACTATCTAGGTCAATATCATAGACACATTTTCTTGGTTTCCTAAAGATATATTAATGATTAAATAGATATTTGATGTAAAATCGTAAATGAGGGAGGAAAAATCACAGCACCTCATGTGCGCATAAAATATACTGCGAGTAATTTGGCAACTCCTGCTTAAAGAATAGCAAGCGCCTCTTTATCGGATGAGGAAAACAGTCACGAAACGTTGACTCACAACTGATGCTGTGGTGTGACAGAGCACGCGAATTTCGTCGTAGGGCCCGCTGCAAATATTTTCTGCTGGTCTGCGGAAGCCTAATGAACATAGGAGGAACTTTAAAAAATGGTTTTCACATAATGTTTATTAATATTATATGCGTTTATCAAGTGATGATTGACGTGTCAGAGGAATAGGAGAGGCAATATAATATTACATAATCTTTACTAATAACTCGAGAAAGTATGTGCTGTTTTGGCACCTAAATTATGTTTGTATGTATCATGTACATTTTTGGAAATTAAAATGATTTAAGTAAATGGCATATGCTTTATATATTTCAGTGCATTGTTCTGTATTCGTATCGAAAATTGAAAGGGAAAGTATGGAGTTGTTTGTAAAATATTGTTTTTACTTTTGTGTACGATTTGTTTAAAATTATGTGAAATCTACTCACATTTTCTAAAAACTGTCCATGTAATCATTTGACTATCTGACTACTTAGGGTCTGAGATACTGCACTAGCACATTTTGTAATTTTTTATTAGTTGACAAATTATATATCTTCTATATTTGCTTCTTAGTTGATTATCTGGGAAAACATTAAAAGTTTTTGTCATGTAGCTTTATTTCGGACTTCATTTGTACATGGGGTTACTTCCTTAATTTCCTTGATATCCGACGATGGGTTATTCGTAACGTGATGTGAAATTATTTAAACTCAAGAAGCTTGTGGGGTATTGTTTTGAACTCACCACCGAAGTTATATAGTATTTGTGTGCGTGTAAATTTCAATTATAAAGCATCAAATTTATTAATCACAGAGAGAGCACTCCAGCAATGGATATTTTATAAACAAAATATATATATATATATAATGCCTTTATAATGCTTTTGTCTTCAAGACTTGAAGTATTGGGTATCAAATCCAACAGGAAAATAGTATGATTTTTTAGAGAATCGTTCTAATATCTACACCCACATTCAATTTTGCATTTTCTTTAAATAACACATTCGAGAACCTTATTCGGGATTATCGTTTCGCCATTTAATCAATATGTTGAAAACGCAGCGAGGTGTGGAGAAAGTTGCTAGCTTCTTGGAGAGTCGCGATGCCCAGAGATGCTCCGCGAGCAGTGTATGACCCACCGCATGCAATTGCTTGTACCGGTGCGGTGGGCGGCGGGCGGCGGGGGCGCGTGGACAGCGGGTGTGGCGGGGCCGTGGGGCAGTGGCGGCGGCGGGGGGGCGGAGGCCGCTGACGCTCCGTCACGCCTCCGCCGCCTCGCGTGCGAAGCCCAGCGGCCAAACCAACAAAAACACCGGCAATCAATTACACACCGACATACGAGCCGGGGCTCCGATGAAGTCGGCGAGCGAACAGCTCTAGTCGGCCAGCGCCTGTCAAGTGAGCGGACGTGGCACGAGCCCACTAACTACCACTCACTTCGCTGCTGGCGACAATCACATGAATACATTTGAAGGGTTGTCAAGACAACATCCCGATCTCTCTCTCTCTCTCCTCTCTCTCCTCTCTCTTTAAAATGGATTTTCGTCTTGTAGGGATTGAATAAATGTCTCACGTACTTTTCTCTTCGGAGACACTTTTCAGTGTGATGAATTTATCTTCTAAATGCGTAGGGATAAACTGATTGCGGTTGATAAACGCTATATTTTCCAGCAAACGCAAGTACAAAACGTATATGGTTGTCACATTAGCAATGCACTTTAGAGAAGAGTCTTTGTGTTGTTACGAGATATAAATTGCTCCCAAAATTAGAATAAGATTTTACGAGTGCTATCCACCGTTACCAAATAGAAACAAACACTTCTCAAAATGTGATTTCCTTTCCATTAAAACAAAAGTGACATGTTCGCACATTTTTTGAAAATGCGTATAACTCTTATTGAAAATTATGTACTAAACAGTTACATAAATAATTGCAACGCTCTCAGTACAGTAGTTTACGTAAACATTCCAAAATTCTAAATTCTTGCTCGTATCATTTGCATTGCAACGAATGCGTAATATAATAGAGTAGTACAGTAGTAAAAAGTATTAAGTAGTAATATTGAATCCTGCTAATTTGTCATCAATCCCGTGAAACTCCCTTTAACCAATGAATCGCGGTAGATTTAGAATTGCAATTTTCGAATGTTCACTGGTTTCAATGAAATTGGATGTTAATTCTTATTTTATTCGCACTTGATCTTCTTAAGGAAAACCCCCGCAGGGGGAGGGGACGTCTGTTGGCCTGGGGCTCTGGTGGAGTTTGGAAATGGCCACAGGGACCCTTAATTTCTTGGCGATACTCACGTCGTTTGCCAAGGTGGGTTCAGTGAGCAGACAGTGCTACGCTTCGTGTGACCCAGGCTTGCTCGCGCGGGGCTCAATTTAACCTCCACCCGCTGTCCGTGGGGTAGAATTGAGGGGCCCCTCGTCCAAAAACCGACATATAGAAGTCCCTAGGTAAATCCAACCCCCCTCCCCTTTACGACGATACTCCTACGTGTGCAATGTCGAGATGCGATGGAGGGCTGAACTGCTCGGGCTCCGGCCCGGAAACGTGCCTCGCCGTTCCAGGGACACCAACAGAGATTTGTCCTGCGGTATTGTGAGTGGCGCCCGAACTCGGCTCCGGTACCAGACTCGGCTTGCACCGAGATGGCGGGGTGGCTCCCTCCAGAGCTCATTGGGAAGATGCCCCTGGACGCGTTTCCTTGCCGTTGTACCCGACAACCTCCTTGACGGAGGGGTGAAGATTGATCTTAAATACGATGGGCTCGCTCTGGGGTGGGTTCGATTCCCACGGTATGAAACTGAATTACACTCGGGTGGCTCGCCGCCCAAGGGCAAGAAGCGCTAATATAATGCAATACTCGAAGAAAAAAACTTACCAGGAGGGGACCGATGGTTGTACTGGGCTGAGAATCTGGCTGAGACAGGAAACGACCACGTGGGCCCTGAGTTCCACGATTGGAAAGAACTCGCCCGAAGCTATTTCCAGCTTTTCTTACACATCAAGAATTTCCTACCCGGTCAGCATTACGAGTATCACAATGACGCCGATTTACAGGTGGTTGTCAAACAGGACAGATGGCTGTCCAAAAAATTGTTTTCTCTTTGTTAACGTCCTAAGAAAACTTACGTTTTGGATATTGCTGGTTATGTTCTGTAGCTAGTTTTAAAGAACATAACGTTATAACAACACATTTGAAATTTATTCCACTTCATCCGCAAACTGTCGTTGTCAATCTTATTTGTCTGAATAATTCAAAAGCGTCATAAAATAAGAACTTGCTCTGAATACATTTAATATTGTAAGGCATTTTGTTAATAAATTGATGTTAACGAATACAATTTACGTAACTCCCTTTATTCTAGTGAATGTTTTTTTCTGGGAGGTGGCGGTGTTCCTCCCTCGTTGGATCGGCGCCGATCTTCTCGTCCCTTGCAAGAGATTTCCTCCTCCAAGAATACCCGCCAGAGGAACATCTCTACAACCGGAACAAGCTCTAAGCACCAGATGGTCTCCCTACATTTTGGGTAGTGTAGTGCATGTAAGTGTGTGTGTAAAGATGACACAAGAAAGGAAAGATCGCGCGTTGTCCGTGGTCCATTTGTAGTGTATTCGCTTGATATTGATCTGAAAAACTAAGGAAAACTATCGATGAATGCAGCTGGACGCTTAAATTCTCTTGCAGGCAGCGTCTAAATGCGATATACGTACATAGCTAGTTTGAAAATCTGCCACAGTCGGGACTCCCAGTCAGTTTCTACTGATACGACGTCAATGCTGAATGTAATCTAACTCAGTCAGTAGGAATTTCATGCTCTCTATTAAATCGTGCATTAAAGTTAGTATAATGGTATAAAGTAATGAATGTAGTTTACTCAAAGTGAATCTAGAGCCCCCAGAATGAACAAAAAACTCCAAGTCTTCGGGTCAAAATCGAAGATATAGCAGCTCTACATGTGAAATCAAATACCGGCTAAGTCTAAAAAATATAATTTGCGGAAACATAAGACTTACGTAATGTAAACTTGGCTCACAGTGAACGATTTTAAATAACCGAGACACCAGAAAAAGAGAAAACTGGAGGTGATAAAGAATGGCACATACTTCCTTGTAGTAATATTTTCTAATTTCCTCGATGTAAACTAGGCTTACGGTCTTCCTCCATCTTCTTGCCTGCTGCGATCTATCGCCGCCCAAAGTATTTTTTTTTTTTTGACATTTTCTCAATTTTTTGGTTTTCTAATAGTAGACCCGAATTATTACTTTAAGAATATTAAAGAAGAGTAAACTCACGACACAAGTGGCAATTATTATCAAGAAATTTGGAACTGCTTTTAATCAAAATTGCCTTTAAACGCGTAACACATTGTAAACGCGAAATTTGAAGCTCTTTTCACAGATAATTTTTGAGTTTTCGAATAAATTTATTTAAAGTAATTTGAAGTACTTTAACTCGCAAATACAATACGGTTTACAAATCGCTGGAAGTGCATATTAACGGCGCGGAAATATTTAAAAATAAATACGTTTGTGTATTTTCTGAAGAAAAAATTCAGCAAAATGAAATTTATGTAATTTTTAACACTGCAATTAGTCGTTGGAAAAGTTTGAAGAACAAATTTGGAGCAGTTTTTGCTTTCGAGTGTTTCTGAAAATGCGAAATTATGATCTCATTTTAACAGAAAACTGTTGAGTTTTCGAGAAACTTTAAATGATGTTATTTAAAGCACATGTATTCATAAATGCAATAATACGAGCAAATTGCCGCTAATGTAAGTATTAACGTGAAAGATAAGTGAATTTTTTGTAATTTTTGAAAAAATAAAAGAATAGAGCAATATGGTGTTATATTCTTATAATGGCAATTTGTCAATATGTCAATATGTTGGCAATATGTCATCTTATAGAGTAAATTTATCACTAACTCTATCAAAAGTTTAAAGAAAATATTGGATTCGTTTTTGAGAAAATCTTGTTTTTGTAATTTTTTACAATTGCAAATATTGCATTCAATATTGCATGCAATATTGCGCGAAAATGACTGAAAGTTTTTAAAATAGTACAGGACCTTAATGAAAGAACTAATTATGAACAACATATTTCATTTGAAGGAAAAATGTCCATCTTTAATTTTGTAGTTGTAGGTAGACGCCGAAAAAAATCAAACTTTTGCAAGAGTGAACCGTAAAAATCGGACCTATACCACCTTTACTTTAATCTACTTTTACCTTTATTTTACTCTATTTCTGAAAGAAATTTAAAGAAAAATTGGAGCCGTTTGTGAGAAAAACAGTTAAATGTAAAGTGCCCCCAAAGTTTGAAGAAAGCTTTTCAAAATTGCAACGTCTCAAGTCCAGTCAGCTCGACCGGGGAATATCCATTTTGGAAAAAATTCCACTTATGATTTAAGCACTAGTGGTGTTCACAGACGGATGGACGAACGGATGTTTTCGTCAAAACACTTTTTCGGTATCAGGGGACCCTAAAATGTATATTTCCATTGAAATAGATTTTCCGCAGCATTAGGTAACTTCATGCTACGTATATACTCCGTGTATAACCTACGTACGTATACGAGAAAGTAATACATATACCGTACTACGTACTCTGTATATACGTATGTATACGAGGGAGTACAGAGATTGGTCACTGTATATTGAATAGAAAAATTCTTTGCTTTATTAATAAAATGCTACGCAATTTGCGTTGTTTGAAATGCGCGGCTAGAATGGAAACGGGAAGATGGCGTCATGCGCCGCTTGGCAGGTTCACGGGAAAAGGAAGAACAGTAAGGCTTGCTTAGAGACCATCGTTGTGTGATCGTTAAAACGATTGTTTGTAAGTAATCAACGTAAGTATTCGATATACTTTCTTATGTATCATTCTTGTTGTATCTACGAAAAACATAGAAGAGGTGAGGGAGTTCTGATTATTATTTGAAAATTGTAATACATTTTGCCGTTTCTTTTCTCAGAACATTTTTTTCTCGGAACTATCTGTTACTTTCAATTATATCTATTGTGCGTCTTACAAAGGCCCCTTTGAATAGAAATTTCAGTGATGACATTTAAAAATTCATTACATTAAGGTAAGCAAGATAGCTGGATTTGCTGTTTAAAGCCAAAACAATATCCATGTAGATATGTGTAAAGATATTGGTAAATATAAAACATATGTAATCCCTACTTATTAATATGAAGTATATGAATTTGAATGGTATTTCAGTACCACTACATACAGTTTTATTACCAGAATTGTCAAATTGTTTGGTTGAGAATCTATAATGAACCTTATTCATTTAACACTAATTCATCTATATACATTTATCTCAAAGGAAAATATGAAATTATTAATTTCAACATAGATCAAGAACAACCCCTTAGTTTCAAACAGTTTTCTTTTTCTCAGAAGACTGTTAATCTCAATAATATCTTGGATGTCTGACACTGCTCCCTTTACATAAAAATTTCAATGATGACATTTAAAAATTACCTAGTAAGTACTTAGTAATACTTAAAAAACTATAAAATATTTAGTTTTATCACAATTTGATTGATATACACTTTGAGTTTATCTTATCCGCTTTCATACCATTTTTATGCATCTCTGGAAAAAAAAATCTAAAATATCAAGATTTCACTTAATTGAAACTAAAAATCAAAACATGCCCGAATTCTCTGAAATTAGCACTTATGTTATCTTTCAAAACATTTCCTAAAGGCGTAAGGTGACCGGACGTCCCTTATTAGCCGAGACAGTCCCTTAATTCGAGTGTCTTTTGCGCCTTTTTTGATAGGAAAACGGGGCTTTCAAAGTCCGTTTTTTGTGAGAATGACTTGTCGGCATAAAATGTCATCAACAAAATTAAATTTATAATAATATATTCCGTAAATTGATCCTAATATATCGCATTTTTTATAAAAATTTAAGTTCGACAAGATAGTGTGCCACGTAATGCGTTTTTAGAGAAACGGTTGTGGTTTCTAGGAAGAGAAAATGCAGCTTTGGCGTCATTTCAACTTGTATATGCTTTGTCGGTAACGATATCGTTAAGAAGAATTGTAATAATCCTATACTTCTGCTTCTGAGAGTTTGTGCGACTTAGTATTAAATGTTAATTGAGTGATACTGACCTGCACCGTTATGAATGAAAGTGCAGAATAAACAACTGTTTACTAATTTTTATTTCTAATGTTCCTTTCTAAGGTTCTTAAGGATTCTTTGGTTGGCGTGAATTGAATGCTACTACATCATGAAAGTCTATATTTATGTATTCATTTATTTAATCTTAATTTCTAATTCTAAATATTTGTGATAAAACAATATTTAAAGTCCTCTTTTGCCCCTTTATTGTTGTGACAAAAACTAAAATGTCCCGTTTTTATGATTTCAAAACGTGGTCACCTTACTAAAGAGTGAAAATCAAAAGTCAATTTATAGTAAAAATGGAAGATAATATCAATACTTAGGTCTCATCAGCGCAGCTGCTGCATCAGCCCAGAAAAACTACTTGGAAGCGGTGTTGAGATAATGTTGACTAATACCTTTCCACCCGGGCACAGACATTCCTTCTCTTTCCACCACGCTAGGTCGCTTTCTGCCGTGAATGGAATTTCGCGGGACCCACCCACAGGTGTGCAGTTCTCAGCATCTAAGTCAGGAGGTTTCTCAGTTCTCTACTGTCACACGTGTACTTGCTGATTAAGGGGAAAAATTACTTCACAATTATTACATTATGTGGTCTCTTTCAAGGACTACTTTTGAGGTTCCATTGGGGTGACTAAACAAAAGGCGGTCTCGTCAGTCATCTCTCCTTCGGGATGTTACGAGCACTTTGAACTTTGTTAACAAAACTATTCTAAAACATTTTGGAGTTTGCAATTTCTAACACTAAGTGGTAAATAAATGAGTTGCTTTTTTAAAATACAGAGCAATTTATGTTTTAACGTGTAAAAATCCGAAAATAATTGTGTTATATATGGAGATTTCTAATTTATTTATTGAATTTGATTTCACTGATGTAGGTAAAATGTAGATAACATTGATATTCTCAAATAAGAATATTCATTGCTGAAGGTCGAGTCAATATTAGTATAAGTCGGGGCGGATTTTAAAGAAATGTAATTTTTTTCTTTTCAATTTATTACAGAACTTTTTTTTGAAGGTACAGAGTTTATGTCATGACAAAAGAAAATTACCAATTTTTGACATTTGTTTCGCATTTTTTGCCAATTTCGACTAACAAGTCATTTTTAACATTTCTGTAATTTTGAAGCATTTTTTGCTGATTTCATCGATTTTTATATACTTTTCATGGTACTTTCTTCAAACAATATTTACGAGATGCAGATTCTCCACATCCGTTGTATGTAATCTAAACTGCTGTAACGACTCCCTGCGCAATTATCAGTTCGGGCGATTTCACGGTAACCGAAGACAGATATATCTTTGTAAAGAATAGTTCAACCCAAAAGTTTTTTGGTAAATGCCGATTGAAAGTCAATTTTTGCTTTGATTGACAAAATTACAGATGACGAGGATCGGAATGTTGTAAATGTTATTGTTGGTACTCTTGAACTGGATGCACCAGGCAAGAGTCTTCCAGGCCAGGTCTTCCAGTCACCAAGGTCTTTTAATAATGGACTTTTCAGAAAAATCTTGATTCTTATTTGTATTTTTAATATTGAATTATAATATGTGTTAAATTGATCTTCATTTCTAAGACATATGATTGGTTGGAATAGTGTATATTTGTAGTGAGTGAATAAAATATGTCGTAACAGACGCAATAAAAATGATTAAAATTAACTAAAAATTATTGAAAGTAATAAAACATACTTCCCTAAAAATCAGTGTAATTTAATCATCGGAACAGATTTTTATCAAACTTTTATATCAATTTTCTTTTTTTAAACATTTCAAATGCATATTATTGATCATTTTTGGCAATGGTTTAGGTCGCCAAAATTCGACCTCTAATTTTAAGGAAAATGAAAATTTTAATGAAAGTATTAGTAGTGCTTACGACTTTTTTTATTTTCGACAAAATATTTTTGGTCGGGGTTAGATGAAGCATCAATTTATCAAAATACATTTAATTGACTGCGACAATAAATAAGTGAAGTATAATGTATTATTGAAGATTGACAGTTGTCATTTTATCGGTTGAACTTACAGCAAGCCTGGGTATGAAAGAATTGTTTGGACTGGTCTTTTACGTTGGCTTGGAAGTAAAAGTTCGAAATAGGACTTAGGAACGAAGGTACAGCAATACCTAGGTGGAAGAGATTGAGTGACGAAAGTCATGAAAATTCACTGTGCATAATGGAGAATCCAAACCGCAAATGGCAAGAACTTGTGCACGTCGCTTCAGGATGACTGAGATCTGCAAGAGCGCGCTGACGCTACTTCTCGCGTTCCCCTTTCCCCCAGTCGCAGCCCAGGCTCCTGCTTGCGCCCTCAGTGCCTCTCGCCCCCGCAGGAGCGCAGTCGACATTCTCTCCTTTCAACGTCACTCCGCCTCCGCATCTGCCTTCAACCCCCCCCCCCCCCCGTTTCAGTGACGGCCGGCTCCTCAGGAAATTGGGCGAGGCATTCGCCAAGTAAGACCGCGGGATCTCGGACGTAGGGGGAAATACCGAGCACTATCTGGCGTCGTGTATCGCTGCCACGACCTCCAGCGCACCTTCTCCATCCTGGAGCGAGCGCACGGCGCGTGCGGCGGAGCGCCTGACCCACCCTTCCCTTCCGCCTCCCCCGCGCCGCCATCGAGCCCCGGGAATTTTCGACTTGCTTTCACTCTTCCTGCTAGCGCGGGAATTTTTTCAGCATGACTTGTATGAATGAGCACGCCTCACTGACACGACCCAGTGCTCCGAGAACAAAGGCGCCGATTTAACGTTCGCGATCTGAGAAGAAAAGGGTGTTTTGCGGCGGCGCACAGATGCAGACTTCAGCGTCCGCCTCCGGGAGTATGGCGCCGGGAGCTCGAGAGTGTGTGGAGAAAACCGCGGGGTAACCCCGACCGCAGGGTCTCGGATACATATTTCACATCCTATACAATGAAATCGATCACCCCTCGTCGTGAGAAAATGTCATAAGAATTGTCTTGAGCAGTAAATTCACCATAGACACCATTTTTTATTAATTTCTTGAAAAATGTATTTTTTCTACTACATCATATTTAACCCTGCACGAACACACTGGGGTCTACAGCACCCCAGCTGATATTAATATATTTACCATTTCAATTATTTTGAAATTGGGTCTATAAAGTTTTGTATAAATTAAGTTCGTACTATTGTCTACCGGAAAGTAAGGCATTTCCTTTATGAATTGTAAATGGTTATTTTTTGTTACTATAAGCCAAGTTTGTTAAAATGGCGTAACCATATTGCAAATTGTTCCTCTCTGATAAACGTAATATTAAAATCTAAAAAAAGCAATTCCACATTTTTGAAAACAATTTCTCAAATAGATACGTGACGATTACACCTTCTTTCTCAGAATGTTTTTATGACAGGTAATGAAACCTAGGAGTAAACATTTCTACGAAAATATTCAACAAATGATTCAATATTTATAAAACACCTTATCCAAGTTCAGTAAATTACAGATGTGAGTGTATATAGTCAAAATACTTTGGGTACCCCCAGACATGTCTGCACTTCATGTTTGAAGAAATAAGTGTGTACGTGCGGAGTTAATGATCTGTAAATAAATTATTTGTTACTGATAATACTCAATGAAAAACAGTTGATTTTACATTTCAGTCTCCCTGCATATATGTTCTCCATATTTATGATTATATCAATAATTTTATATTGCCACTTTTATAAGTTCAATTTGTTTATCGAAAATGTAGATGATAATGTACACTAAAAAGCATTTTTTCTTTTCAGATTTAGCTGACGTGCCAAACCAGTCGCTTTCCGGTAGTGTAAAGGTATGTTGAACGTGTGAATAAAGTTACTTTTATGCTGCTTCACTAATTAAGCTTATTAATGAATTCTTTGATATTGCACCTTTTGTTGGGGATGATATTCGGATCGTCGTCATTGAAACAGCCATTCTTCAACAAAATATGTTGTGTTTAATAAAACTGAAGGGAAGATGCGGAATACAATAAATAATTCTGCCTCTGGGAAATAATTATTGAAAATTATTTGTCATAGAAATTATAAAATATGTAAATTAAGAGTGATCTTCTAAAACCTAAGTTGTTTGTATAGTGGCTTAGAATAAATAAAGGACAAAAAACAACAAATATCCTTGTTTTTGCCTCAAATATTGGCAAACATTAAACCTATTAATAAAATATATACAAAAAGAAAGAAATCGAATCTAATTGAAGCGTTTAACTAAATAAAAGTTTAACTGCAGTTTTTGATTTGTGGTAATCAACGCAGAAAATATTTGAAATTGAAAGTCCGATTTTTACACACGATATTTCAAGTGTCGTATGTTCCCGTAGTCCTCTTCATGCGTATGAATTCCCATCTATGTGTGTGGATCCTTCGATGGGTTTGGGCACCCATACTCTTTATATATGGACACTTATGTGAATACTTTTATAAGAGCATTGAAGATCTATAGTAATTATATAAGCACCCTTAGACCCTTCTGAAATGTATTGACTTAGTGTATTAGCCCGCTGATAATTTAAAAATAGGAAATTATGGTTTTAACTCTGAGGCTCTTATGAAACTAAATGCTCGTCAGGAGCAAGCATTTTTAGACGCGAAACATGATGCGAAGGGTGTGGATATGGCAACCTTTCTTAATTAGAATTCACCAACGCAAATTTTAAGAGGGCCGTGCATATTGTTGACTGTAGATTGGATGCGAATTTATTTACTTTATTTCAGGTGTGTATAAGTAATGGGTGAGGAAAGGACAAGGAAGTGGAAGGAAAGATCGCGCGCGCGCGCGGTCCGTGGCCCATTTGATAGGATTTACTCCGGCATTCGCCTTGTGTTGGTGACAGAATGGCGGCAGAATACCTCTTATTGAAGCGACCTCAGATACAAAAAGTGGATAAATTTTATTCCTATATGGAAGGAGAGAGTGCCTAATACAGCTCATGTGACTACTTACGCACCACCACTTGTTTTTTTTCTCACACTCGCTTCGTAAGGAGAGAAAGTTACGTGATCATGTGCCGGAAAACGGCAAATTTCCGGCAGAAAAACTCTTATTGCTGGGCCCTGGTAACGAAAAAGTGAATAAATGCTATTGCTACACATAGTAAAATTCTTCTTCTAACACGTAGTGAAACCAGAATCCGGGTCTTTGGTATTGATTTATCGGTTGACGACAAAATCGAATCCCGGCAAAACGTCTGGCTGCTTGCCTGTGGTGAACGCCAGCCCCTAATCGTTCAATTTTCTCCAAATTTGATATTCCCCGATCGATGTGAACGAACTTGCAGCTTTGGGACTTACAACTGTATATTTTTATTTTTGAAGGTACTTTACAAGAAGCCTCAAAAACATTTTCAAAATTTTCTCAAAAATAGTTCCAAATTTTGTTATTAATCTTTGTCCTTGGATAGCATAAAGGTCGCTTAAGAGAATCGTGCAGGTCTCGTTTTCTCTGAAATCCTTGCTTATTCGCAAATTACAAAAGTGCTATTTTTAGGCGTGTTTCTACAGGTACAACATTGAAGACATAATAAAATGTCTTCTTTAAAGACATCTTGAATTAAGATTATTTTCAATTATTCGAAAATACAAATTGTATTCGTTGAATTTTGGGCGCAATATAGGCAATTATTTTTTAAATAACTTTTTTCAAAGAAAAGCTCCAAAGTTTTTAAAAATTTTCTTGTTATATGTATCAGGGATGGTAAAACGTATGGTGCTAGTTCTATTTTCGGCGAACTCAACTTCGGCGTTTTTTCAAAAATTACAAAATGTAAACAGTTCAAAACTACAAAATTCAAGGTGGACATTTTTGCTTCAAAGTCTGTTTTAAAAAATCAGCTCTTTGAAAAAGGTTATTACAATATTTTGAAGAAAAAAGTAGTTTTTGCGTTATTTGTGCTTGAAATTTATGCAATTTCTAAAATAATGTTCTCAAAAAACGCTCCGAACTTTCTCTTTAGTTTTATTTTGACAGAAAGAAAAAAGGGCGTTTAAACGAATGGTGCGGATCTTATTTTCGTTGAACTCTGAATTTTTAAAATCTTCCAATTTTGAACTAATGCGAGAAAGTAAGTGCTGTTGTAGCACCACCAGTTACAAGCAAGTACGGCAGCGGCACAGAATCTGCTTGCACTTTATCATCTGCGTCTGTCATCACCACATTGCCTTCACATCAGTTTATCGGGGGTCGTCATGACGATTGTTGAACGCGGAGATTTGCGTTACACCCAAATATTAGTATACGAAACGGTATAGTTCGATTTGGGATTTACATTCTGAGTGTAGCCTTAACCTTTTCTATGCTACGATAGGGAAAAGTAGTGTTAATGCCTAAAAACGCCTACCTCTTTGTGCGGTATTGAGAACACATTGCTTGAGCAGGGCACACAACTTTACAGCCTGGGCCTTGGGATTGCCCCCTTTTCGGGATCAAAACCGGAAAAGTACGACTCAAATCATCTAGTTGTAGCCAAAGAGAATTTTTAGTTTGCGAAATAAAGATGTTTTTGACATTTTGGTACAAAGATATGTTTTATGTTACATTAAAGACCGTAGACATTCAAATCTTCGTTCACTGAACCATTTTCTCATTTTGCAGTATTGTGGAGGTTACGCACGGTACGCACTTTGGAGGGGTGTGCTGCATTCGAAACACAGTTTCATATGATGTGACACATCTTCAGATTTTTATACGCATCCGTGTCGTTTCCTATTGCAGGCTTACAAGAATCTACAATTAATATTTGTAGCCGAATAGTAGGAGCTCTGCTCTATTAGTGTTTAGAGCGTATGTGGGCTGCGCAAGAGAGGTATCTCGCAAGGTATGATGTGTTACTCGCTAGTAAAATTACTCCTTCTAACATGCTCTGTAGTCAGAATTCATGTTTTCTTGGTTCATGATACCCAAAGTCGATTGACAGTAAAACGTGTCTATCCGCCCGTCCGTCCGTCAGACTGTCCCTCCGTCTGTCTGTCTATAGTCAAAGCTTGCGCCAAAACCGTTCAAACAATTTTCTCCAAAATTGACATTCCCATATCGATTTAAAGGGTACTGGGCTTAAATGGTTTCTGACTTTGAAACAGATATTTGTATTTTTGGCGGTACTTTTCATGACATCTCAATTACATTTTCAAATTTTATTAAATTTTGTTCTCGGATAGTGCAAAGGACGCTTGAAAGAATAGCGCAGGTGTAATTTTGATTGCAATCTCTGATCAAATGTTTGTATCAAATCACGATTAAAAATGCATACATAAGACTCTCAGTTCCGGCACACTCGGCATTTTCAAATATTGCTAAATCTTAACACGTCAAAATTACAAAATTGAAGTGAGTGATTTTTGCATTAAACAAAATCTATTCTAAACAATTAGCTCTTTAAAAAAGATAATGAACAATATTCTAAAAAAGGAGTAGTTTTGGAGAAAAGAATTGTCTGTACTTGAAGAAAACGTTAGGAAATTTTGAACGTTTTCACCTTTAAATACATTAATAGATATAATATCTCCATAATATATAGTAATATGGGTATTTGAAACCTATATGTGTATATGAAACCCCTCACATTTTTATATTAAAATTCCATCAAAAATTTTATTTTAGCCCATTTGAGCGCGCGAAATTCGAGATCTTGATTTTTGCACCAATTTTTTTTCTTTTATTAAGAAAATGATGTGATGAGAAATTCATATCATTAGCTATATGATGAATGTAAAAAGGCATCTAAAGATTGACGTACGTTATTGGTTAAAACCCTCTCCTTTCGTCGTAAAAATCGGGATTGAAAACCTGCTACCTGATTATCTTCTCCCTTCTCGCCATAATGCGTGGGGATAATGAGCCACTATTAGTAGCCCTAGTGTTGATGTGAGCTCGGGAGCGCAAAAGGTGCTGTTCCAAAGGCAAGAGACGAGACTCACCCGCAGCTGCAACAGGCAACAGGGACATCGTCCATGCACATTTAGCATGCAGCGCGAGTGGCCGGAAAGCACGCGAAGCGGTGGAATGCCAGGCCACAACCCTCTGCAAGGGGCAGGACACGCACGCCTCCGGCGCTGCCCTGCCGTAGGAAGCTGCGCGGAAAAACCTGCCAAACGCCACCAGCGCTCCCGCACCTCGGCGTTCGCGTCCCTTCGCCCAAAAGAAGGCGATGCCGCTTGGACAGATCAGTGGTCACGTGAGGAAGGCGCGGGGCCGAGGATAGCGGACCGCCGACTTGGAAAAGCTACAGGGGCACCGTACTATCATCTTTTGTCTATATCAAGGATTTCCAACTCGCGTGGGCTCGTGGGCTGCTTTCGAAAACTTCGGCTTGATTGCGGAGCGCACATTAATATTGGGCTATTTTTTTTCAAATATTCTGCCAATAGAAGAGAGGCACTACAATGAAGTAACACTTATAGTTTAATTGAAACGAAGGTTTAGTCATTTAATTGATTAACACTAACATTTGCATGAAAGTTTTGAAAGAGTGAAATTAAAAATACGCAAAAACTATTGTGCGCAGAACAATGTAATTTTGACAATAAAAAGCACCCAACGAAGTTACAATTAAGTACGTACATTAGAATTAATATTTTACAAATGGCAAAATAAAAAAATAGCCACATACACACTGATATTAATAATGCAGTCAAAATTAAACCTAAATAAGATCAATTTAGGGGGAGTGCTACTCTCAATCAGATCAGATTGAGTCATCTTAAACAGTGCATTTATCATTATCAGTTCAAAAGGTTTAAAGAAAAAAATTGGATCTATTTTTGAGAATATGGCGTTTGAGCGTTTCAGAAAATGCGGAAATTTGATATTACTTCCACGGAAAATTTCGAGTTTTCCAGAAAATTTATCAGGCATCATTCAAAGCACATGTATTCATAAATGCATTAATGCAAATGCATTAATGAACAAGTCACCGTTAATGTAAATGTTAAGGACACTTGAGAGGCAAGACAAAATAATGACTTTTGTAATTTTTGATCAAAGAAATTAAGCAAAATGGCGGTTAAGTCGTACAGCACACTCAGCACTTTTCTTACTAATATGTTTAAAAAATTAAGCTTTTTTTTGAGAAAATCTTGTCTTTATTACTTTTTAGTATTGCATATATTTCACTCAATATTGCGCAAAACCTACTCAAATTTTCAAAAAATGTACACGACATTAATGAATGATCTAATGGAGATTATGGAGAACAAATTTAATTTGAAGTCAAAGTCTATATCTTCAATTTTGCAAATGCAGAAAGACGCCGGAATTTCAAACTTTTGCTTTGAGTTGCCAGTGAAAATCGGACCTATGCTACCTTTATAAGTTTATTCCAATTTACAATTTTATAAACAAATTCGAAATATGAGCTAGAACAGCCGGAAAGGATCCTCAATTCTGCCTGAAATAAACATTTTAATATAGCAGTTTGACAGAGTTACAAATTAATTGCTAAAAGTTAGTATACGTGTTGCTAAATTGCTGAATGTTTATTGGTCAATTGACAGTAATTCAGGACGGAAAATCTCGCTCAGTAATATTTTTTCGTCATGATGTTCGCGCAGGAAAAATTTCTTCTTCGCCAGGGAAAGATGATATTCCCGCCTTATACGTAAACAATCGAGGCCCCCGCCCCCGGAACAGTGTCTTTCCCGCCCCACGGTAGTTTGCGGCCATCACAATTGACACTTACTGTAGTGGTTTGTCACCTAGTCCGTCCCCTGGATCGAAGGTTGTCCAAGAATTTCTGGATGGTTGGGAAGATAGAAATTCACCAGCCACTTTTTTGTGAGTGGAACTTTACGTTTACGAAAGAATAAGAAAAATGTTTGATTACTAGTCCCATTATCTTAAGAATCGAATTGGTAGGGATATAATCATCCAAACAAAAAAACTTTGAATTGTTTATTTTACATTTTTATCTACATTTTTTTTCTAAACAACTTTTCGAGAATAAAAAGTTTCCTTCGTTAGGTTCATTGTATACGAAAATTAACGATATTAAAATACATTGCGATATGTTTAAGACTTTACTTAAAACTGTAAGATACAAGAAAAAATCTCTATCAAAAAAGATGTAGATTAGCATTATTAATCCTTTGTGTTAATTTACGAAATTACAGTGAGTTTGTCCAAATAGGGTACTATGTCATTTTTAAGCGTTCTTTGCATTACAGGGATGCACTTAAAAAAAGAGTGAGCCACTTTTGAGAATATTTTTATAAAGTACATTCACTTCAAACAAAATATACGCGAAAACTTTTCGTTCTTCAAAAAAATGTACATGATCTTAAACGGTCTAATTTTCTAGAACATATTTCTGAAATAACTAGTGGTGTCACAACAGTGCATACTTTCTGGCATTATTTCCATCTTTTGCAGTTTTTGAAAATTCGAAGAGTCCTGCGAAAATTAGACCGGCGCTATTCTTTTAAGCATTTCTTAGAGTAACATTGAAAAAAATGAATGAAAAAGTTGGAGCAGTTTTGGAGATTGTTTTTCTATAATTTCAATTAATTTTATACAAAAATTTCGAAAAAACTACTAGTTTTTTTAAAAAAAACTGAACGTGGCATATTTAAAGATTTTATCAAATTTTTGAAGAGCAGATTTATTAAGGAGAATCTCAATATTCAAATTTCCAGTTTAGCATTCTTTAACTTTCAATTTTCAAAAATAGAGAGTTCGCGAGAAATATGTCTTTTTGCTTTTCTTTGACACATACCAGAAGAAAAATGTAAAGGAAAATAGAGAGCCATTTTTCCGAAAATAATTGTTTAAATGTTGCCTAAATTACATGCAAATTACTCATATTTTTGAAAAATTGTACGTGACACTATTTCAGTTTTTAAAGAACTGTTTATTGAGAAATAATAATTATCTCCATCATTGTTCTTAAAGGAAGACACCAAAAAAAGTTTCGATATTTTGCAATTTTTCAAAAATCAGTTGTATCAACTAAAATGAAACCTGCTCCGTTATTTTAAGCGTCATACACACTATCCAACGAGTTTAATCAAATAATTTGCAGCAGTTTGTGAAAAAATTGGGAACATGTAATTGAGGCGTCATGTAAAATACCCTCAAAAACAAAAAGTATCCGTATCAAACTTCTTGAGTCGCTTTAAATCGAGTGATGAATATCAATTTTTTAGAACGTTTGAACGGTTTAGACGCTAGCGTTGGCTGTAGATAGACGTAGACAGACGTGTTACCATCAATCGATTTTTCTGTATCAAGTACCCACAAAACATGGATTCTGAATTCAAGTTGAAGTAATTTACTATTTATAGGAACAATATTAAACCCCTTTTTCGTTAACAGGGCCCTGCAATAGAATTTGTCTATCGAAAATTCGTCATTTCCGGCGCACGATTACAATATTTTCTCTTCCTAGGAATTAAGGACTGAAAAGTAAAATGTGTCATCAATCTTGTACTTATACAATACAAATATTAATGTTCTACAACTTTTGAAAATTCCTATATCGCCGGAAATATAACTCCTGCATTTTTAGCTTCCTTTACTACATCCAAGATGAAAGAATTAAAGAAATTTTCAAGCATTTTTTCGGTAAAATAATTGTTTTAAGAAGAGATATATTTCACGTAAAATTAAATGGAAATTACTAATTTTACCTTACATCCTACTTATCTAACACATTATTTCATAACCTGTCTCCAACAGATTTTGTAAAACCAAAAATCTGTATCTTTAATATTTCAATTGTATAGGAGACCCCGAAAAAGTTTTGAACTTCCGCGATTTTCAAAAATTCGTAGAGTTAACCAAAAATGAGATCTTTGCCTTTTTTAGTCTAATCGCGATATCCGTCCGATATCTAATCGCGATATCCGTCTCTTCGTCCTATCACTTTCGGAGACAATCGTTAGAAAGGTTTAGGCGCTAGCGTTGATCTCAGATAAGAGGAAGGACAGACGAACGGAAAAGACACATGGTCAGATAGAGAGACGGGTGGACACGGAAGATCAGACGGACGGGTGGACAGACGGACAGATGACTACACAGACTGTTGGATGGACAGACGGATGGATGGGCAGATGAATGGCCAGGCGGAATTGCGGACAGGCGGGCGGGTAGACGTAGAGACAAGCAGATGGAACGACGGGCAGACGGACCGATGGACAGACGGACCGACGGGTAGACGGACGGATATACACACAGACACATACAGACATACACACAGACAGGCGTTTTGCTGGCAACTAATTTGTTGGTATAATGTACCGGTGATTCTGAATACTCGTGTGAATGGAAGAAATTTACATCTAGAAACATTTATCCTATTTTATGATGCCAGGGCTGCCCAATATGTGTTGTTGTTTTTTTGTGGATAAATCGCCGAATCTGCAGCAACATGGTAATAGTTCCTCTTTACTACGTATTTAGAAAGGCGAGAAAGTAAAAGCAGTACTACAATATTACACACAATATTGCAGTTGCAATTGTATCATAATACTATGTGAATCTGCAAAAGTGTTTGCAACCAACAATTTTGTTCTGCGCTGTGATTCGAACCCATATTTTTAGAATTAATGTTATTCATACAACATTCACGTAACTCCTACTCCACTCGCCTCATTGATCAACCTACCGGACGCTTAAAAAGAAGTTGAATATTTCAAAATAAATTTTGAAGAACTGCTTTTATGAGGAAATAAATTTCATCAAGTAGTTCTGCAAGTTAATTTTTGTTTGCAATTTTCGCTGAAAAATAGATCAACGCCATTATCTGAAGTATTTTTTTCTCTCTCTCCCTGACGCAGAAAAAATGGGGAGTTATTTAGAAAATATGGGGAGTCATTTTGAAGAAATAATTCTTTACAAATTGCCTATATGCAACTCAAAATTAGGAAAATATTCTGATAATTCCAAAATTTTCAACATTACCTTTTTTAAAGATCTGTCTTTGATAAAATGATATTATGTTTTAAAAACCCCTATTTTCAATTTTGTATTGTACAAATTCGTATTCTCTTTTTGAATTTTTATAATTTCAAACTTCAGAGGATTCAACTAAAATTAACCCTGCGAATTTTTAAGCAACCTTTGCTGTATACAAGTAAAAAATTAAATCCAAAAATATGGAGAAATTAAAAGACATTAAGGTTTCATATTAAGTAGCCCAAAAATACAAAATATCCGTTTCAAATTAACATGAATGTGAGTTGGTCCAGAGAAATCGAGGAATACAAGTATTGAAGCAAATTCTTTTCAGCGTGTAGGTGTCAGCGTTGACTACGGACAAACTGTCACAACTGTCTAAGGGCATGTGGACGGACGGTCTGCTGCAAACTAATTATTCGGATTCAAAGACCCACAAAACGTGGGTTTTGGCTTGCCATATTAGGGGATATATTTTACTACGTATAGGAGTTAGATTTATTCACTTTTCTAAATCAGACCACCTGTCGTTGCTTGTTTTCAGAAAAAAATCACTTCCTGCTGCAGCAATACAATGCTTCCTTTTGACAACGTTCATACGTACGTATGAGGCGATCAAGTAAAATTTGAAGTTTGCAGATTTTATTATAAACTATTGGTGCCGCAACAACACATACGTGGTTGCATTATCTCTAACTTCTCCACAATACTTTACCGATACATACACCTGCAAACTAGTTTTCAACCAGCGAATTCTTTTTCCCGCTGTGAGACTCGAACTCATGTCCTCCGCATTACCTCACCGCGAGACATTCTTCTACGCTATAGAAACGCTGTGAGTTTTCAACTCGGACATAAAACTGCAATTGCTTCAAACCAATATTTCGAACACGCAATATTCTAAAATTCAAAGATATCAACGATACTGAGACCTAACAAATTGTTTTAAGTGTTCCTTGCTTAATACATAGTTAAAATTTAAAGAAAAAATAGACCAGTTTTTGAGGAAATGTTTGTTTTATAATTCCCAATAATTTCAACCAGAAATGACGAAAAATAATCGTTTATTTAAAAGATTGTATTTGACTATTTTTAAAGTTCTGATTTTTGAAGACATTCTTTGTAGTAAGTAAAAATTTATATCTTCAATTTGTAGTATTAAAATGTAAACTTTTTGCAATGTTCGCAATTTTCGAAAACCCGGAAAGTTCGGCGAAAATGGAACTAACTCGAAATCTACTCGTTTTTTTTTCAAAATATATACATAACTTTTTTAAAGAACTGATTTTTACAACAGACTTTGTCTACGGCAAAAGTCTCTATCTTCAATTTTGTAATTTTGTTATGAAATTTTTTTGTAATTTTTCAAAAATCTGGAGAGTTCTCAGAGAATGTTACTAATATCAATTTTTTCACCGTCTCTTGATACTTGCGAGCAAAAAATTTAAAGAAAGTTTGATGGGGTTTTTGAGAAATAAGTCTTTAAAAATGAACAATTACCAAAATTTCCCCAAAATTTACACGGAAATTCTCGTATTTTCGAAAAATTGAACATGATCTTATTTCAAGTTCTGTCTTCCAAGAAGAGATTTCATTTCATATTTCAATAATGTCACGAAAGTATTCTTAAATATGGCCACTACTGCAGCTTTACATGAAATTATTAAACAAATTTTAATTTTTCAAAAATGATAGTTGAAATAATCTTATACACAATAGATAAACACACGCTTTGAACACTATCGTTTAATATTTTGAAGAGAAATTATTGTTAAAATATAAGTTATAAAACAAACCAGGTTCATAATTAACATGACAGATCCAGATATTCGCGTTCACAATCTTGGGAGCCTTTGCAAAGCCATGGGCTGGAGTGTGACATCATGAACTTCTCGCGCGGTTCGCGTGGGACGCACAGTTGTCTGCGGCTGCTTCGTCATGGGCTCCGCCTCCGCAGCCTCTCCCCATGCCCCGCGATCGCCCACACATCCGCCCACGCCCACCACGCCAACAATCGCCGTAATTGGTTACCGTTGTGTGGCACAAACCTAGTCTTATGGGGCCATATTAACTTCTTCCTGTCATTTCGCGAGAGATCCACTGCGTCGGCATTCCACGGATGCCAGCACCGTCGCGCAACGAGCCTGTGTTTTCTTTTGACGCAGGAAAGAACCTCAGTTTTGAGAAGCATCATAAACCATTCAGTACGTGCCAACTGCGTCACGTCATTGTGCAACGTTCTCCCTGTCATCTCCGTCAAAAGGTCTCGTGTTTTAGGGGCTTTTTATTCAGTCTTAATTGGGCTGAATGACCCTGAAAAGTAATTAAATAATGAAAGTTTAACATTCAAAGTATAGTAAATTACGAAAATTGACAATAGACTGCAGATTTCCTTTCCAGAGATAACGTCGGTCTTATTTCGAAGAAACATACAGACCACTTCTCTTCTATCTGATTATAATAACATAATTAATAATTATAAATAATTTTTATTAATAATAACATAATAATAATAATAATAATAATAATAATAATAATAATAATAATAATAATAATAATAATAATGACTGAAATAAAGTAAAATTTAGATTTTTCTATTTCGATATCCATTTTGATTATGTAAAACGGAGTCCTTGTATTATCATCTTAGGAATCAATTGATTGTTGCAATAACTTCATATCGGTGAAAAATAATCAAGATAAAAGTATATTTGTTTTTTATCAACAAAATTCCAAATGAATATCATCTCTTTCAAAACTATTCAAGGTGCTTCTTTTATAACCCCTTTCCACCTATGAGGAACATGAATATCTATTACTTGAATTATTATTAGATATTGAATTGGTATTATAATAATTATTATGTCATAAGGCGTCATTTAAAAACATTCCACTTCCGAAGCAACCGATTTGTGGAATCCTGGATTCCCTGGCCCTTGCAGAACGGCAGAAGCAGAGACGGGGGCGGCGGTGGTAGCAAGGGCGAAGGCAATTTCTTGCCAAATTCTATGGTGAGCTTAAAAAAGATTAACGAAATAAATGAGAATAAACATGTGGGAGTCACACTTACAGCAGTTAGTAGAGTCGTACAGGATGAGAAAAATAAAAATATAACAGGAAAAATAACTACCAGACAGTTGAATATAGTACAATGTAATTCAGTTATTTCAATAAAGACAAAGAAACGCATATATAGCTTCATCACTGAGAGACAATTGTACGGGGCAGAAATCTGAAAACGAACCAAAACTAGTGGTGCTCCAAAAGCACATACTTTCTCGAATTATTTCTGTCTGTTCCGCTGTATTATTCTACTACAAATACACTTCTAAAGCTGAGCAGTTACGAAAAATATTGCTTCCAAGACTTTTATTTTGTACTGTTTCTTTGTTTAAAACCTTTTAATTATATCATAAGTTAAATTTTACTGAAAGGAGGAGGGAGTCTATTTCACTGTATGATGACTTCCGGACTCTTTAATAATTGTCAGATAATAGGATATGACTTGGTAGCATTTTTACATGTTTTAAACGTTTATATACTTGCTCAAGATACACGAAATGTGTAAACGTTATTAGTGGATCATATGTCTTAAAAGCAGGTTGTTTTGGTCCATTATGAATTTATTTATTTGCAATGAAAAATGTTGCTTGTACTGCTTCTCTAAGGGATTTTGGGCAAGCTTAAATTACAACGCCCATACGGTTTTTAAAATAAATATATTAATAAGTAAAAAATATGAGAAATGTATTGTTATTTACTAAAATATTATATTATACATTTTTACACGCGTTGTCTTACTTTGTGTGAATTTTCTATTTTTGTTTGCTATCCAGTGGTACACCCACATATATACGGAGATGAAACTATAACGTAATGATTATCATGTGATTGGGTTACTGCAGTAATCGCTCAACATTACCGAGGATTAAGTTCCCAAAAATCATCGCTAATGTTAAATCATGAATGCTAAGCCTATCTTCTTAAGTAGAGGGATGGGTTAGGTTCCTGTTTATCGGAAAAAGATTTAAGAAAGAAAAAAATATGTCGAACAGTTGCAGAAATATTGACTAAGTAAGCCCTACAACAAACAAAAAATCAGTATTAATATCTCAAAAAGAAGAAATGAAACACAATATTTGAATGTTATTTCAAATTTGAAACTGATTGGACATAGTATTTTATATTTTTGTTTGTTTTACCGATCTTCTCCTTGTCTTAAAAATCTTCAAATGTGGAAGATTTGCTACTTCTATTTCTCTCTTAAATTTCAAAGTTCATTTCATGTTCTGATCGCATTCGAAAGTCCTTTCCATCAGATCTTGTTGAAATATTAGATCACTAACTGTTCTGATTGTAAAGTTTTTTTGAATTTATTTTATTTTTACAGAGTATACATAGATCAGTCCTTTTAATGCACTTTAAATATGTTGTCAATGCTTACATTCCAATTCACCTAAAAATAAACTACATACAAATTTGGGTAAGGAAATCTTTTGAAGGCACCTCTAGAAACAATCGGAAAATGTTCGTAAAATTTTATTAGGAATGCATAGTATGGATATATTTTTAATTTTAATTCTGTGAGAAGGAGTTTTCAAAAGTCTGAAGATGGCTAAGTGAGGAATTTGAGATATGAAATGATAGAAGTGAGTGGACGTTATATGGTGTTGTATGGAGTCCATTTGGAATTATTTGTGGAACTGTGAGTTTATAACAAACCAAGGAGCATTTGTGATAATTCTAAGAAATTGGTTCTGGATTATTTGAAGCCTTTTAAGGTTTGTTTTTTCTGTTTGCTAGTTTTATGTTTGAATTGATTGCCATTAAGACTCCTCCTTCTTTGTTCGGTGATCTATCTTTTCTGTATGTGACATAGTCTGGACAGTAGAACTTATTGCTGCGTTTTAAATGAGTTGCAAATAAGAATACCGATGCAAATAAGTTTTCTATAACTCAGAAACGAAAATGTATACTTTTCAAACTTTGCCAATCTTGCGGTTTTTAAAATTTATTTTTATTTCTTTCTGTTAAACTTTTACTCATCTTTCAACTATTTATAGTTAAAATGAGGAGAAGGGCTTCTGTAACTCAAAAAAACGTACGCAGATAATCTTTCCCCCCCCACGCCACATACAGTTTTTACTGTTTTTTTTTTACTGAATAAATGTAAATCTATTCTAAGTTTCCATAATGCAAGAAACTTCAATATTATAGGTATAGAGAAATTGCATAAATTATATTTTTTATTAGCAATTCTACTCGCATTCCAGTTCATGAAGGTTATTAAGTTGTTAGTGTGTTGTGCTGCCATGGTTGCTATTGAAGTAAGATGACAATGAATTTGTTTATTACTGATTATTGCTGAATAATTCAATTGATTGTGTTTACGATATCTGAGTTGTAATGGGATTTATTAGAGAGTGTATGAATGAATTATTATTAATATTATTATTATTATTATTTTATTATTATTATTATTATTATTATTCATTATTATATTATTGTCTTACATTAATTCACAGTATCTTACTGCGTCGGTATGTCAACCACACACAGGTATGATGGACCAGGTGTGTGGTTGGCTTTACTGGAAGGTTCAGGATGGCTTCTGGACAATTACGGCATGTAAATTCAAAAATATCTGGTCTTTGCCATATTATATACATCCTGGTATCCAAAGTGAAGACCTCAACACCCTCGTGCCCGAAGTGTCATTTTCGGGAATCACTCCCGTAGTGATATTATGATATAGGCACAGTCCGTCACTTTACTGAAGGTGTTCCCACGTGAGTTGCGACTTCATAAGGCGAGATTGGTATAGCTTCTGGATCTTCTTGATATTTTCCCGATATGTTATGGGGTATTGGGTATTGATTATATCGCATAAGGAAAACCTGCTGTTGGTTTCTTCATATGGTACGTTTATATCTGGTCTATTGCCGCCGACATGTCTGTCCAGTGATAATGGACGATCCAGTAGAGTGTGTGCTCCACTACCCTTTCAAGCACATTCTGAGGCACATATATTATAATACGGCACGGAAGTGGGGCTGAAGTAAAGCCGTTCGCTCAACGCCAATAATTGGTGTACCTGCTTGCCCATTCATCATGCCTCTTTTTGTATTCCGACCTGTGCGTTGGCTGGCTACATCACTTGGTTTACGTGTTGGATAGCTTGTCGCTGTGCAGCCTCACATTCTTCTACACGAGTCGGAATGAATGGTAGAATCTCTCAGAATGTGTTTTCTGTAGTTCAATGTTGGTACTCAAGTTGGTAGTTCAATGGTGGTTTTCTGTAGTTCAATGTTATTATTATTATTATTATTATTATTATTATTATTATTATTAATATTGCTGTTATTACTATAATTTATGTTGTTTGGTGTTGGGTGGTTTTGGTTGGGTTGATAAAGAGGATTCGATTTGGATTTAGTTGGGATGAAAGGAAAATTAGGAATGCTGTTTGTGGGTGGGATGTATGGGAAATTGAGAGAAGGTGTAAGAAGAGAAGGATGTATGGAAGCGAGATGAGGTGTTATTGTTGGGTCTCTTTCTGGAACTGGTAGGTTGTGAAGTGTGGGATGGTGGTTCTCTATTATGATCTCCGTTAGGGGGATGGGGTTCAGTTAGATTTTTTGTAGAACGGGCATTCGTCAGAGCGGACGTCTGCACGATATGACCCGTTGCAGTTCTTACAAACAGGGGTGAGCATTTTATTTGGACAATTAACCAAATATTGATCTTTTGAGCAGTAGATACACAGAATATGTAATTTAATAAACAGAAAAATCAGCCATGTTTCGAGACAAACACGTAGTAAGTTTTCCTGTAGACTCAATGAACACCTCAGATCGTGGAGAGTGGAACTATAAAATTCCATATTTGCCAACCAGCTACTTCAAGGCCAAGGAAAAAACCAAGAAAGGTGACACCTTCGTGTATGAACTTAGTAACGCGCGATCATGAGAAGTATGAAAGAAGTATGGAAAGAACTTAAACTTACACAAAGAAATTACACAATACTATAGATCAGAAATGTGTAGAGAGAGACAAAATCAAAATTGTAAGAACGAACTAAGAGGTAGAGAGTGATAAAGGCCTCGAGATCTAATATTGAGAAAAGTAAGTTTATCTCCAGTGTTAAAGTGTTAGGAAATGTTAAAAATATTAAGTGAGATAGGAAGAGTAAGAAATGAAAATTGAAGTACAGTGTTAACAAAGTTTAGGAAAGAAAGAGAGAATATCTGAAAGTAACTAGCGAATAATATACACCAAACTAAAATAATTCAAAATTCTTCACTTCGAAAATAAAGGCAACAAAATGAACATTTTAGAAAATTTAGAAATTTTAAAATTATTCATACTGCCTAACTTAATATGTCTCAATGAAGAATCTCAATTAAACGCCAGCCCTATTATAAATATATTTCTTGACTAGCTTTTCCCACAGTTCTATTTCCTCGCTCATCTTCTCTCAGTATGTCACCGTGCTTTGTACGTCATACAAGATGGCGCCATCTTAGCACTCTTTTTTTTTTTTTACAACGTGTTTAATCTATGATACTTTGATAACTACTCTATTTACATAAATTTTAATGTGTTCGTTTGTATTTAGCATTTCTTCTGTATGTCTTCATTTATTCATATGATAATTTGTTCGTTCATTCTCAAAATTGTAGAGCCACTGATGATGGATCGGAGTCCCGAAACAAGCGTATGGCTAAATTTTCTGTTTATTAAAATTTATATTATAATAAACTACGTCTGGTTGATACCTGTGCTCTCCTGAATCAATAATCTAAATCTTTAATATTATTTGATATTCACATTATTTCTTGCCCTCTAGATGATAAATAGCTGCCTCCCCGCTATCGCCGGAATCTAGGCAACCTGACTAGAGACTCATTTTCCCTGCCGGGCTTTTGTATGTGAATTCATAATTATTATAGTACGCCTCTTTGTTGTTTATAGACTGGATTTTAAATAAAAATTATTTGTTTAAACTAACGGCACAACGTTTTGAGATGCGGTGTCACCTCATCTTCTGAAATGATGTATTACATAATTATATATAATGCTAATCAAATCAAGTTGTAGTAATATTAAATCTACACATGACCAAATTAATCAATTAAAAGTCCGAATGTTAAAAATATATCTGCTTTTGCCTATCTTGAGAAAACAAAACTTGATAATCATAAAAGTATATCATATATCACCATAAAAAGTATATTACAAAAGTATATCATATCATAAAGTATTTTGTTATTAAACTTCCTTTCGCAGTCTCGGAGATCGCGCGCTTAACTGCTTTGGGAATCTATACCTAGCTCTCGGTCAACAATTGCAACTGCAGGAACCTCTCATTCTCTGCTGTTCTTGCAAGTTTTGGCATAGACGAAAGGTTTCCTTTGGTATCGTCGAAGGTACTTTGTGCGCAGTTTCCTGGAAGTTTCGGCGTGTTTTGCTTGTGATAAGCATCGTGAGCTCTCTTACAAATAAAAAATGGGTTAATATCAGACGCTGATCCATGAGGAGGATATGATGAAAAGCCCCTTATTTTTTTCAGTAATTATTAATGTTAACTTGTCACGAAACTTTCAAGCAAAAATATTTTCGGGTAATCATTGAAAGGAATAAAATTGTAGCGCAGCCGAAACTGAGTGAAGCTTGTGACATTTCACAAATCTGTAATATGACACATTCGACCAAAACATTTTTAATTTCCCCTCCCAAAATTTGTCTCTGGATCCTCCCTTGTTAATACAGTACATAATTTTAATTAATTCTCATAATAAACTAAAGATGTTGCAACAGCCTTTTTCGCATTATTTGTAAAATTGCTACTCAAAATTACACAAATATACTCATATTTTCAAATAATTTTATAGTATCTTCCTTTCGAGTCGGCAATTTCTAAATGTAATCGATATGAATTGTGTTAGGGGTCCACACTTTCGATAAAAAAATTGGGATTGATGACAGCTGAACATTGACTCCCTTGGTCACGGACTACTTAAGGAATTATTATTTTAGTTTTTTGTTTGCTTTTTGTTTCGCGAATCAGGCATCTTAGGGCCACGCGATATGTGCATCCCACCAGGGCTCGTGTTGAATATCGGGGTTGGTGCACGTTACTTTCTATTGGGGGATCAGCATTTTAATGCTGATTCCATTGTTTCATTCCATTCCTTGCCACCCCAGAGTAGTTAGCCCTGGTGGATGTGGTGAAATTGTGATGATGAATGGTGTAATAGACCATACCCGAGGCAGGATTCAAACTCGCGTAACTTTGGTCCGAGACCACCACTGCACTAGTGTTTCAGCGATCTCAGCCATCGGACTGGCATTATTATTATTATTATTATTATTATTATTATTATTATTATTATTATTATTATTATTTTGTTGCTGTTGACGATATCAGTGAGTAGTACAAAATTAATTTTTTACCGGCATGGGTGGGTCAGGTTATCAACTGATCTCACTGCAGTGCCTCTGATCGGGAAACCTAGAGTTCGAGTCCCCACTGTGGCAGGATTTCCAACACTAGCTAGATAGCTAGGTTGAAGTCAGTAGCTTCTGTATCGTCAGCGGCGTCATCGGTATCCGTGCTTTCCCTATCAATACCAGGCGAATGTCGGTAGAGTAGCTGTTAGGGTACACGGTCCGCGTGCGATCTTCCCTTCCTTTTCCTTGCCTTATCCTCACCCCTTACTTACAACCACACTTACATTCACTATACTGCCACATACAAGGGCTGTACAAAAAATATGTGGACTGACGTCATAAAAGAAAATGTACTTTATTTACTAGGTACATGTTAGGGTCTTTTTGAAAATACCCTCCTCCCCAACGCTCATGCTTAACCTATCGGTGTTTCCTCTTCTTGAAACAGTCCTGGTACGCTTCTTTTGTAATGTCCTTCAGTTCCTTGCTCGCATTTTCCATAATCTCGGGAACTGTCTCTAATTTTCTTCCTTTCAAGGGTCTTTTGAGTTTGAAGAGAAGACCAAGGCACAAGGAGTAAGGCCAGGTGACTAGGGAGGGTACAGAAGAACAGTGATCGAGTGATTGTCCAAAAACTTAGGAGTTCTGAGGGATGAATAAACTGCAGCGTTTCCATGATGAATCAAAGAATCGCCACTCATCCACATTTCTGGCTTTCTCCGGCGGATGGCGTCCCACAGGCGTTTCAGAACTTCAGTATAGTAATTCTGGATCACAGTGAAGCCTTCGGAAAGATACTCATGGTGAACAACATCCTTAGCATAAATGAAAACTCTCAGCATCACCTTGAACTTGGATCGAGCTTGGCGAGCTTTTTTAGGTCTGAAGGACGTTTCACCCATCCACTGCGATAATTGGACCTTTGTCATCCTAACAATATGATTTTATCTTCTTCTGAACGATCGAGCAGTTCATGACGATGGACTTTTTGTTCCTCCGTCATCAGTCATGACACAAATTTCGCCGTGCATCCTCAATTTTCTGCCAAAATCTCGTGACAAGATCCAATATCCCACACTTTTCAACAAGCTCCTTGATAGTAAGACGTCGATTTGCCCGCAATCGAGTATTGGTTTTGTCGACATGTGCGTCGTCAGTTGACGAGGAAGGACGTCCAGGACGCTCGTCGTCTTCAATGAACTGACGACTACCTTTAGAACGTTTACAGCACTTAAAACATGCCTTACGCTTCATAGCAACATCGCCATACACCATGCTCAATATAGCAAAAGTTTCTGTTGCCGATTTTCCATGCTTAACAGAAAATTTCACAGCTAGTCATTTCTCTTTCCCGACATTTATTCTACATTTACGGGAGTAATGAGTATAACAGTTGATACTCCTGGAGACACGCAATAATTAATCTATCAAAATTATTTAAAAATAAATGGTTTATCTTAACGCCGTTCAAGGGTCTTCTGAACAAAGATTCATATTTTTGCATGAAAAATCGCGAAACACACATTCCATGCATGTGCAGGCATTGTCAATTCCTAACAAAGCAAAGCAAATGCCAGCAGTGCCGTCTTAACGCTCAGGCCCGGGACGAGGGCCCCCAATATTGAATAGCCCCCGACAGCTCTTAAAAATATTTCATACTAAATTGTTCCAAAAATAAAATTGAAGCTAGTGTTGCTGCCAAAGCATATACTTTCTCGCAATGTTTATAAACGCTCCGCAGTATTATATTGTTTTGAATATTATAATGAACAATTGATTTAATGTAACATACGTTTCACAAATAGGTCAAGATAGTTGTCAACTTGTTTCAAATTTCAATATACGAAAATGACGAACAGACACTTCCAGTTTATTTACAATATAAATAGATTGTTCATGTGAGTAGAATTGCTTCAAACGATTTTCAAAAAAGTTTCTGTTTATTTATCTTTATTAAAATTATTTGCGATTAGAATTGCATCAAATGGATTTCAATAATAGTTCCCCACAAAGACACGAATCAACCAACCTGCTGCCCGAAGATATGCTCAGGCCTTATCCCTGAATTAGCTACCTCGGCTACCCCGTTACGACGAGAAAATAATTCTTCCATAATAGTATTAAGTGGGTGGGGGTTTCAGTTCTAGCATTACGGAGCCGAGTAATTAAGAAAATGTGAAAAATGTTAGTTTTTCGTGCGACGAACCAAAACAGACAAGAAAGCGATGACGCCTATTGGAAAAGCTGCTAATTTTCAAAAAAATTAACAATACCCGAAAATGGAACTAGCACCATATTTCTTGCCGTCCATTAATACACATGTGCAGAAAATTTAAAGAAAAAATTTTGAGCGGTTTTTGAGCAATCATTTTTTGTGAATTTCAATCTCACATTACGCAGAAACTATTCGTTTCTTTAAAAAATTCTATATTCATTTTCTAAAGAGGGAATTTTGTACAACAGTGTTTTTCTGAGCCAAAAATCTCTATCTTTAATTTTGTATTTAAAAAATTTGTAGTTTTTTAAAAAAATGGTGATATCACTGAAAATGAGACCTGCACCATTGTCTTAAGCATCTTTCGCACTATTAAACAACAAAATTTAATCAAAAAATTTTGAGTAATTTTTTTTTAAATTTTTAAAATTTCCAAGGTGCTTTATGTAAAGTACCCCCCAGAATTAAAATATCGATTTCAAATTCCAGGGGCCATCAACGAGATCGATTGCGGAATATCAAGTTTGCAGAAAATCGGGTGAACGGTTAAGCCGCTAGCGTTGGCCACACACGAACGGATGGACAGAGGAACGTTTTGTCGTCAATCGATTTTTCGGAATCGAGAAGCAAACAAAACAGGGATTCTGGCTACACCAGAAGTTAAGAAGATTTTTTTAAAATTTCTCAACAGGATTTATGCACTTATTACTTTCCTGTATACGTACGTATTACGGAGTAACATACGCAGTAGTATAGGGTAAGTTATGCAATGCTCCGTAAAATAGACTTCGAGATTTCAACACGTTTTGGGTTCCCCTGATCCCTAAAAAAAATTTTAATCAAAACGTCCGTCTGTCCATCCGTACGTCCGTCTGGTGTCTGTGAACACTACTATCGCCTAAACCATGCGTAGAATTTTTTTTTCCAAATTGAAGTATCGGTGTAGATTGAGCTTGCAGATTTGGTAGATTTTGAAAAAAAATCTTTAAAATTTGAGGGTATGAGAGGAATAAGTTTCTGGTAGAAGCAATAGTTGATGTGAACGGGAAAAGGAGGTAAATTTTGACATTTCAGTTAAAAATAATATTGGACAAAGAAAATAGAATATTAAAAACTTTCGACCGCGTAATAAAAAGCTGAATGGTGTAATGGAGACGTGTTCGCGACATCAATTTGTCGCCCTAGCATGCTTTGCGGTTTCAGAAAGGAAAGTGAAATTTTGCAAAAGAAAAGGACTTTCAACATTTTTTTTAAGTTCAAAATTGTTGTAAAATTTCAATTAATGAAAGTAATAGATTCAGTTAATCATGGTCATTAATGGATTTCAATTTAGTAATAATGCAGACATTTGAGCACGATAATGTTAAATGGATATTGTAGTATATAAATATGAAACGAATGTGATGGTTTGTTTTTCATTGTTCAATAATTTTAGTAAATGTCAATATGTGTGTGGGTCCATAACAACAATAATAACATAAAAAAAATAGGTGCCAGAGGAATGCATCTTTAAATAAGAACAAAAAACGCATGGCATTGTTGCGTTACAGAAATGAGCATAAATTTGGTGTTATTATTGTAATAATAATTAGGAAATGTCCCCATTGATCACAAAATTTCCCCGAGTAAAGATTCTGTCAGCCAAGAACTCGTAAGGAGGTGTGCATTTTTATGCGATTCATTCAATTTTCAGGAGATATATGAGAATTGCTGGTACCAGTTTTAATAAGGTTTTGTTTTTTATAAAAAAGAACTTAGGAGAAATAGAAAGAAAGTAGGGGGGGAAGAATTTAATATTTCAATATTAAGTTACAGTTTGGGGCAACATTAAACATTTTAGATATGATGTTTTTATACATGACATATTATTATAGTCTGGCGGCTTAGCTCTTTGGACGGGTACTCGCTTTCCCTGACGCGACTCGTGTTCGATTCCCGATCAGGCAAGATTATTGTATGCATTTTCCTTGAAATGTCCCAGTAAATGTTGTTAAACGCTGCGTGACGATAAGAAAATTCACATCTCAGGCTGAGAAGACCAGGATACGACGAGGGGATGTTTTCGTGCTAACCACACCTACCCCCTTCACCCATGGCTGCGAGGCCGGGACGTCGCTAGTAGGCCATGGCTCGTACACGGGCAGACGCACCAACTAGAAATTTATTATTACATGCAAGTTTTGTGAACCTCTCGTTGTAAAAATGCAAATTTTTTCTTCTTTCCTTACGCAGTAAATTACATTCTCAAATGCGTTGTGTAGTTAGAATTCAAATTTTGTGAGTCCTTGATTGCGAAAAGAGTTTTTTGTGTGTTGAAAACACTTCTGTGGATTCAACTTTTTTAACTCCACAAGCCACAAAGAGGGAATTCACCGCGAGCACGATACTTTACGGATGTCAAATGCGCAATAGACGATTTCGACCACCCAACCTGCAACCCAGATTTATCTCTGTCCTTCTATTACCTTTTACGCTATTGAAAGACATGTTATGAGGTAAACATTTCACAGTGACGAAGACCTCGAAAAAGCGGCCACTACTTTCTTCTACACGAACTGGCGGTAGAGGTGTATCAGGCAGGAATTTAAAAAAGAACTCGTTGCTTGGTATGGTAAATGTTTGAATGAACATGGTGACTATGTGAAAAGGAATGGTATGTATTTGTTTGTACAGTAAAATCATTCTCCAAAAATTTTAATTATTTGCCATTGAATTTGACTAATGTTGGGCTACCCGGATGGCACGCAGTGTCGAGAGCACGGCATCAGCCCTCAAGGCTTTCACAATCTCAGTAACAATCGCAGGTGGTTTAAAATATGCAAGCAAAAATATGCAATGAACGTGTTTATTCAATGCCAAGTATAGATGCAGCAGGGTTAGAAAGAAAAGTGTGCAGTGTCAGTTTGGTACTCGACAGTTTCATACACCTTCGGGTATGTAAGCAACGTCTGTAACCTGAGAACGCCCTACAGCAGATAATCATAGTGTAGCCAAGAAGCTGAAAAGAACCTACTTTCATGAATTTTAGACTTATTACAAGTGCCTTTAATTATTAGACATGACGTACTTGCAAGAATGACTGGCAATAGAAAGGAAAAACAAGAAAATGAAGTATACCGAACATTGCAGAAAAACATGTAACAAAACTGAACTTACATATTTTAAATTAATTTAACTGAATTCGTAAATCATATAGGCTTTATTCCTTCATTCCGGCATCCGTTTTATGGCTATTTTTGCTTTACTGTTAGCAGATCAAGAGTTAATTTCACCAACAGTATTTAAATTGTAGTATTTAAATAGTCACATTTAACAATTGAAAATGGAGAAAAATTAGAGGGTTGACAAATATAAACATTGTACAAATGTTTAAAACAAAAGGAGTTATTACATATTTTCTGAATTGTAGGTATCTTATGATTATAGGCAGTCAGTTCCTTGAGCTGATTGTCTATAATCTCAAAAACTTGATCATTTCTCCCATGGAGGTCTTTCAGATGGACCCAAGATCAGATTTTGCTCCGGTTGGTCGTCGTCGAATATAACGCAGTGGAACGTCTCTGGACCTGTTTTCGTTTTAAAACGAGACTTAAACTATCGAAGTGGAAAGAGTAACAGATAATCACTGTTAGCTCCCCTTAATCGGTCGTTCCAACGCGTGCAAACGCGCGTGAGTTTAACTTTTAGACATCGCGTTGGAATCACATGAACATTTAAAGCACATTTAAAGCACAAGCTCGGAGTGAAATGACACTAAACACATCATCGAAAGTGGTAAAAGCTAGTTGGGCCCAGGTCACAATTTGTCTAAGTGTCAAGGCGGCAGCTGTGTAGCCTCAACGCTCCACCCATTCGCTGCCGCAACCGTCAGTTCCGCCTGCCGAAGATCGGCGTTGTCCCCGCTATCGTCTCTCGACCTCCGGAACGCGGCGCGGAGCGGCTCGCCGGGGCTTTCCCACACACACGCCCCACGCCCCGCGCCCGGGTGGGAATCGCTCCGTGGGCGGGGCCCGGGTGGCTCGGCCCAGCGCCAGCGCCACGCGCCTCACTGCTCCACATTCACGTGCTTTACATCAGACCTGCACGACACCTGCTTCCGCGGGCATTCTGCACTCAAGAGCAGGACGTCTGCTCGCGAGGGCGACAAAAGTGCAAGTTATGGGGGCAGACAGCTTTGTGGGGAGCGGAACAGCCTGCCGTTGCTCAATGGGCCGACGCGACGCGTAGAGTGAATGCCTGAGCCTGAAATGCAATGATCCCGGCTGTGCAATTAGTTGCCCGATTACTTGTATTTAAATAAGTAATGTTCTGTATTTTTAAGATACAAGGGTCATATTCATGTTCTTGTTCCTTTGGGCACTGCTATGTAACATGTTTTATTTTATTTTTGAAATTAATGCTCATTGTGATTTTTAAAGCAGTTGCCTTTTTTAAATGTATTATTGAACTCTTAATAACAAAAATTCTCAGTTTAATAATTGATTTTTCTCCAGGAATGTTATAATTTCCAAATGATAGAAAAGTACGATACCAACGAGGAAACCTTTCCGACGATATGTTAGGGCAATCATGAGTTTATTATGGGTCTTGTTCAAAGAATCCAAAGGGCTTAATCTTTTTAAAAGATGTGGTAATTGATTTTTAATAGTGTTCGTTGATTTTATATTAGAAATATATAATGTACTCTTTTCAGAAATTAGAACAGAAAGTGATCATGATTCTTTAGGAATAAGATATTTTAGCTTTGATAGAACATCTTATTCAATGAAACATAGTTAATAAAAATATAGTTTATTTCTGTCATCATCAATCAAAGCCGATTCAGTATCACAGTTTTGGTTTACCACCAGACTAAATTTTTAATTACATCGTATCAAAGCGAGTTACATTTTTTAATTCTACAAGTAATTGTAATACTTGGTGTTCAAATCAAATATGTATGTCTAATTCGTTTTAGGTTCATATTTAATATTGTCATCTATTGTAACCGTACGCAGTCCAACAAACTTCCGCAAATAAACATTTTTGTCTAGAAAAAAATGTTTTTTAGTAAATATGTCGGTAGAAGAAGAGGAAACAAGTAACAACATGAACACGGAACTGAATTTTATATGCTCGTTGAATAACAGGGGAATTTTCGAATTAGATAACAAGCATTAAGATAATTTAAGAATCATCCGAAAGCAATTCGAAAGGGGAATCCAAAAATTTAGAAGAAAAACGTACAAAGGCAGAAAGATGCTTACACGGAAGAACAATTGAATGTAGGCAACTGATGTTAGTAGCTTTCAAAACAAAATGGAATTTCGGCAAAGCAGGTGAGCCAGAGGGCAATAGACTTTAGAGAACGCGGCGAATTCAAAAGCATAACTTTCAGAACTTCGGAAAAGTGGCAAATCAGAATACATATTACGAAAATATAAAATGTTACAAAAGACCTCGGTGACAGAGGAAAGTGAACGTTGTTGTTTTGTTGAAAAAACAATCGAAAGGCTGATCAAGAAGAACAGAGAGACATGATAGATTACGAGCCGACAACTCGTGTAAGAATGTGCTGGTATGTTTTCGTGTTTTAGAAGAATGAATTTTTATCAGAGAAAAGGTGTATTGGAAGCATGCGCTAACTGTAGTATTTAGATGTTCGGAGTTAGAAGTACGACATTTAGTAGGCTGCGTAGAAACGCATAGGATGTGTGGCAATATAGAAACGGTGAGCCCAGTTGATGGAACGTTTTTTGGTGAAATGGTGGATGGAATGTATTCGCGCGCCGATGACAATGCCGTAGCATTCAAGGAAGTCAACATTATGCAGATATTACCCGCGCGTACGGAATACGTTTATAAGAAAGCCAAGAATTCAAATAAATTTAGTAAATCTTGAAACAACGTATGACGTGCACGGTATGAATGAGAATGGTGACAATATTTTGTTATAAAGTGTGAATGTTGCATTTAGATTTTTTATTGTATTAAAGGGTTTCTTGTTTTATGTAATGATTTTATAGGCAGCATCCCAGAGGAAAGTGGCGACGGCGCAGATTAATTCCACTGAATAACCAAACAGTAATACTGACCTCGGTTGTGAATATATACTTGAATAATGTCCAAGTCTCTTCTTGGTTTATAGATAAAGAAATATATTTTTCTCTCCCATTACTAATAAGATAATGAGAAATATATTTCCCTATTCTGTACACGGGAGAACTTCAGTCCCACGACCCAATATAAATTTTCTAGTGGCAATGCCACTCTTGTCGGAAATATTATTATTTTAATTTTTTACAAACAGAGAATTTGGGTGTCAGGTAAATACACTATAGATGTAAGGAAATAATTGTAATAAAGAGGAGGTACCGACGGGACGGTCACGCTAGTGACAACGAACATTTTCAATCGAATACAAAAGTCAATATTACTTGAATTGTATGTAATAGTCCGTCTCGTTCTCGCTGATAGCTCTTTCTATTTAATTGTGCATTTTAATTGGTGGTCACCACCCCTTCAAAGCGTCTCATCCCTACCTATTCAGCACTGCCGGCATTTGCACTCAAATGACTCGCGCGCGGCACCCAAAGTCAGTGAAAGTGCAAAATGCTGATCAGGCCTGCTTTACACAAAGAGGAGATACTCGGTCTCCAGCTTACTCTCATGCTTCAATCCCTATCTTAAGAAGGAACATTTGAATTTTTTTAATAAAGTGTAGTCCAATGACTGGGTGAGATTTTAAGATACTAGAACTGTTGCTAGAGCTTCCTAGTTACTATCTGCTGACTGTGTTGTTGTGAACAAAAGTAAGCCCTGTCCGTAGTTATTAGCTTCGAAAATTAAACT